CAATAAAAAGAGATTGTTGCGTACGCTTCTATCAGTTTCTGTAATAATTTCACATTCGATCATATGATAAGATTATATATAAGACGTCCACGAAATCTTTTTACTCTACTTATGTTAATAATCTCTCCACTGCAAGCAAAATATATAAGGCAAATTATAATAAAGTGACGAATTGATAAGGATGGATAAATAGAGACATAGATCTCTTTCTAGAAGAATAAAGAACCTGAAAAGATATAATAATCAAATGAGGAAAAGAATCTAGAGAGCAGAGATACAAAGACATACAATGTAAAACGTAACTGCCCATATATATATATTTTTTTAAAGATTAACCACGACGTGTATATATGTACATATACGTATATATATGTATGTATTTAATATAAGGAAAACATACTAATTCATTCACTTCTTGATTAACTATTTGTTAAAGGTTCACTACTTGATTAATGCTAGACTCTTTTTTGTTTAGTTAAAGCTTAATACAACTGTTTTATAACGTTACTTAACATTGTTACCAAAAAAAAAAAAACTGTTTTATAACTACTGTTTTTATGTAATTTATTAAAGATGCATGTACCAATAATTGAATGAAACAAAATTCACGACTATACTGGAAAAAACTAATTAAAGAATGTTTAAAGATTGAACACACCAATAAATGAATGTCAGCTAATCTAAACTTATTCACGTTTGTCTCAGAAATTAACAATGAAACCACACATTCTTAACTATTTTAAATAAATAAATATCTATACAATTTTTTGAACATCTAAGGAAGAGGCGAAGAATTAGTCAAGTACTCAAACTCACGACTGATTTTCAACTTGTAATCGTGATTCGTGTCTGAGAACGTACGTCGCTGTTTTTTTATGGTAATCGTATATGATCACATGCAGTGGCGGATCAAGAAATTAATTTTATCAGGAGCAATAATATTAAATAAAAAACTATAATTTTATTAATATAAATGAATCTTCTAAGTAAGTTAAAGCATTTGATTAATTTTTTTTAAATTAACGAAAGTGATTTAAAGTTATTTTATCATTGAAATATGAGCTTATTATTTACAAATAAAACAAAAATAAAATTAGGCTTTTGTATTATGTTTGAATTATATAGACTTTAAATTATAACTAGATATTATACAACACAAAACCATTGTATAAGAAGAAAACAGAGTAATTGAGGGTATTAAACAAGTATTTAACAAGAACATAATTAAAAACTCCTGTAAATAACACAATTGCCCCTAATCGTAACGTAAGTCTGCCGATGCTCACATGTCAATTTTTTTTTTTTTTTTTTTTTTTTTTTTTTTTTTTTTTTTTTTTAAAACTCACATGTCAATTATATGATACTATCACACAATTAATTTAAAATACATGCAAAATCAACATTAATTTATTTACGATTTAGTCACAGCATTAGTTTTGCAAATAAGTCTTCTAAAAAGATTATCCACCTGTTTTTTTTTTTAAATCAAATTATCTACCTAAGTGACCATATATATTTTTCATTTAGAGAAAAATTATACCTTAGAGAACAATATTATTATTTAGTTATTTAGCCTTTATTGTGAAATTTAGCCCCAAAACTAAAAAAAGTCAACCAAACAAACAAATTATTTAAAAAGCGTCATCAGATATCTGTTGAAATTCGCTTGAATTCATGAAACCGTCAAACCCATCGTTACCATTCAAACTAAACTATGATAGTGTAACGGAAACATATTTATATTATACTACTAACCAATAAAAATCAACACATGCTTATTTTCCATAAACAAAGCATACAATTAAGTGATTAACCATTAATTACCATTCAATATGAACCACTCAAGTCTTTTAAAATTTACCATTGATCACCAACCACACAAAAATAATAATATATATATATATGCACTGTGTATATGTATATCAGTATATGTATGTGTGCCTTGCGTATAAATACGAAGTCTCTCATCTAAGTTCTTACTTCTAAGTCCAATACCAAAATATTTCCTTTGTTTTTCTCTCTTTTAACTACAACTTCCAATAAGAGAGAAGAGATAGAACACTAATGGAGTCCCCAAGCCTACCAATGACGGCAAAAGACTGGACCACCACCAGTCTCCACCGTGTATTCGCTATGCAAGGCGGCGAAGATGACCTCAGCTACGTCAACAATTCCGATAGCCAAGCTTTGGCTATAACCTTAAGCAAACCAATCCTTATCTCAACTCTCGAATCCATCAAACTCTTCTCCGACCAAACTTCTCCCATCAGAATCACCGACCTCGGCTGCGCCACCGGCGCCAACACGTTTACAACAGTTGATACGGTGGTTGAGACGTTACAACGGCGATACACGGCGGTGTACGGTGGTGGTGGCTCGCCGGAGTTTGAGGCTTTCTTTTGTGATTTGCCTTCTAATGACTTCAACATGTTGTTCAAGTTGTTGGCTCAAAAACAGAAAGTTGATTCGCCCGCGAAATACTTCGCTGGGGGCGTTGCTGGTTCGTTCTATGACAGGCTGTTCCCGAGAGGAACGATTCATGTCGCTGTTAGCTTAAGTGCCTTGCACTGGCTCTCTCAGGTCTAACACACTAATCATTTTTCTATATTATAATGTTTTTTGTAACTGTATAATGTTATTTAATTATTTAAGGTAATTACTACTCTTTTTTTTGGTTATATATAAGAAGGAATTAGAATCCATATATACATTATTCACCATTTAAAATAATCAACGACGTCAATTTAACATTATAGATATGATTGTTTTAGCATTCTACTAATGTTAGAAGCTCAACATTTTATCTTGATTAATTATTGTAAGTTTTTTTTTTTTATTAAGGTAATTATTATACTTTTTAGTGGTCGGAAAGATAATTCGTGTACTGGATATACGTTACGACTATAAATTTGTTACGTCAATTCTCCCAATGAAGATCAATGTGCATCACCCAAATTAATCAACAAAAGCAATTTGACAATATAATTTATTTTGTTCTATCAGTCTCAAAACAAGAACATATATAACACCATATATCAAAAACCGTTTCTAAAATATGTGCATTGAAAAATATATGTAGATACCGGAGAAAGTATTGGAGAAAGGATCAAGAACGTGGAACAAAGGGAAAACGTGGATAGAAGGAGCAAAGAAAGAAGTAGTGGAAGCATACGCAGAGCAATCAGACAAAGATTTGGATGATTTCATGAGCTGTCGGAAAGAAGAAATGGTGAAAGGAGGAGTGTTGTTTGTGTTGATGGCTGGTCGTCCTTCTGGCTCAAGTAGTCAATTTGGGGACCAAGATACTCGAGCCAAACATCCTTTCACAACTACCATGGAACAAGCTTGGCAAGATTTAATAGATGAGGTAAATCTACAAATATACATATTACAAACACGTGTATCTTTCATGATTACATTACATAACCGTTCATGATGTTGTCATGTCACTATATATCACAACTACCATGAAAATAAGCTTTTGCTTTTTACTTGTTTTTCGCTAAAACACACTATTTAAACATTTCATTTTTTTTTCCACTACAAGAAATTTGTTCATTGATAGCGCTAAAAATATGCTATCTTACGTTATAGATAGCGAATTCACAAACGCTATGTTCTCGGCAGCTATAGTAGGTATCACCCATACAAAAGCATTTTTTGTCGTGCTATTATAAGTCCTTCTAGTATAGCACTAATCGAATGCTTTAATATAATTTTTTATAACTCATATTTTTTGCTATATTATATTTTTGTGTAGCAATTTTTATGTGCTACATTATAAAATGATGAATTGCAAAATTATTTTAAATCTATAAATTTAAAATCCAAATAATTATATGCTACAAAACCAATTTGTTGAAAGCACGTTTCTTTTCATAGATCATCAAAAAATACATAATTGTAATTTTACAAAATAGTTCAGCATTTAACACCATTTGTTATAAAAACAAAGGTCATAAACAACGTCATAAGTACTGCAATTCAGATGGACTAAACAAAGAACTCCATTGGTTTGCTCTTTCCCTCCCTCCAAGGACTTAAGATGATGTCTCATTCCAAGCAATTCTCATTTCACTGCCTTCTCTATATCCTCTGCAGTTCAGTTCTCTTTTTGAAGTTGGATGTCTTTGTATGAGTAAAAGCAAGTGACTTTCTCAATTACTTCTACAAGATAATGGCTAGAAAACCGTGAGAAAAAGAGGGAACCTGAGATTCATGATGGTCTTCTTATCACAATCCATATTTTTAAGAATAAAAATTGTCAACGTGTTTTTCATTTAACTTTTCATAAATTAGCTAAAAAATTTTTTTTGGCAAATGAAATACCACTCTTATGAAACGTTTTATGTTCCTTTGGACAAAAGGGTTTGATAGATGAAGAGACAAGAGACGGTTTCAACATTCCGGCTTACATGAGAAGTCCGGAGGAAGTGGCGGGCGGAATTGACCGTTGCGGTGGTTTCAAGATAGAGAAAATAGAATTAATGAAAATAGTTGAATATTCAGATGAGAAACAAGAAGAGTGGAAGAAAGATCCGGTTTCTTACGGACGAGCCAGGACCAATTTGGTTCAAGCTGCTATTCGTCCTATGGTTGATGCTTATCTTGGACCAGAACTATCCCATGAGCTCTTCAAAAGATATGAAAATCGTGTTTCTACAAACCAAGAATTTCTCCATATAACTTGTTTTTATGGAGTCGTCGTGTTTTCCGCCATCCGAATTTGATGATGATATAGTTATATCTATAGATATGAATGGAAACATAAGTTGTAGTGCTTTATTCGTTTTTCCATCTAAGATTTGTGGTAGTTTCACTTTCATCAGCTGACTTATGTGTGTTGTCTAAATTTCTGAAGTACATGTACATAAGCTTGTAGGGCTGCAAAAAAAAATAAAACATATTTATAACTTTATAGGTATTATTGTATTATACTGTTACTGTTTTCTATAGTGAATAAACCTAAGTGAAAATGTAATCGAACAAATTAAATTTATTGTAAGTTATTATACTATATAGTGTCCTTAAAACTCGATTTTTCTCATTATTCATTCCAATGATAAGAGAATGATACAGAGAATCAATGCCTTGAGCTTAAGTTCTGGTCTAAATTGGTTCGTTACCTCTCTGAAAATCCATGGAACAAACCTCAAAACATTAAAGCAATCTCATTGTTTCATGATCATAACCGGTTTAAACCGAGACAATCTCAACGTTGCCAAATTCATAGAAGCATGTTCCAATGCAGGACATCTCCGATATGCTTACTCTGTATTTACCCATCAGCCATTTCCCAATACTTATCTGCACAACACCATGATTAGAGCTTTGTCTCTCGTCGACGAACGGAATGCGCACTCGATTGCGATCACGGTTTATAGAAAGTTCTGGGCTTTTTGCGCTAAGCCTGACACGTTTACTTTCCCGTTTGTGTTGAAGATTGTTGTTCGGGTTTCTGATGTTTGGTTTGGGAGACAGGTTCATGGGCAAGCGGTGGTTTTTGGGTTTGATTCGAGTGTTCATGTTGTGACAGGTTTGATTCAGATGTATTCGTCGTGTGGTGGTTTGGGAGATGCACGTAAGGTGTTCGATGAAATGCGTGTGAGGGATGTGAATGTTTGGAATGCGTTATTAGCAGGGTATGGGAAAGTGGGTGAGATGGATGAAGCTAGGGGTTTGCTGGAGATGATGCCTTGTTGGGTACGGAATGCAGTTTCTTGGACTTGTGTGATCTCTGGATATGCGAGGAGTGGACGAGCTAGCGAAGCTATTGAAGTGTTTCAGAGAATGCTGATGGAAAATGTTGACCCTGATGAAGTTACGCTTTTGGCTGTTCTCTCCGCTTGTGCTGATCTTGGTTCACTTGAATTGGGTGAAAGAATATGTAGCTACGTTGATCACCGAGGGATGAACAGAGCGGTTTCGTTGAACAATGCAGTCATTGATATGTATGCGAAATCAGGGAATATAACGAAGGCGTTGGAGGTGTTTGAGAGTGTTAATGAGAGAAATGTGGTTACTTGGACTACTATAATAACTGGGCTAGCTACGCACGGGCACGGAGCTGAAGCCTTGGTGATGTTTGACCGTATGGTTAAAGCTGGTGTGAAACCTAACGATGTTACTTTCATTGCAATCCTTTCAGCTTGCAGTCATGTCGGTTGGGTCGATCTTGGAAATCGGTTTTTTAACTCAATGAGATCGAAGTACGGGATTAATCCGAACATTGAGCATTACGGATGCATGATTGATTTGCTAGGACGAGCAGGTAAACTTCGAGAAGCGGAAGAAGTTATTAAAAGCATGCCCTTTGAGTCTAATGCTGCAATATGGGGATCTCTTCTTGCTGCTTCAAATGTTCATCATGATATTGATGTTGGAGAAAGAGCTTTATATCAGCTGATTAAGCTAGAACCGAATAACAGCGGTAACTATATGCTTTTAGCTAATTTATACTCGAATTTAGGGAGGTGGGATGAGTCGAGGATGATGAGGAAGATGATGAAAGGGATTGGTGTGAAGAAACTGGCTGGTGAAAGCTCCATAGAAGTTGAAAACAGAGTATATAAATTCATCTCAGGGGATCTTTCGCATCCTCAAGTCGAAAAGATTCATGAACTTCTACAAGAGATGGATTTGCAGATACAAAGCAATGAAGTTTGAGATATAAAAGGATTTGAATTTTGATCAGATTGAGTTGATTAAGGATCAACCGATCAACAATGTCTTCTCTTCTCTGAGACCTGAAACCAGAGGAGTGTAGAGTCGTCAACGCGGCTGATTCAGACCAAAGGAGGTGAAAGAGAAGCTGATGGTTAATTCCGGTTCCAGTTAAGAACAAAACAGGAGGAGAAAATTGGAAAATCTGCTGAAGAAGAGAGAGGTCGTTAGTTATGGCGCGTAGATGAATGGGCAAATCGAAGCCTCTTTTTCTTCTGGAGGGTTTCGAGTTTAAGCTTAAAGGCTTCAAGTTTCGGCCCAACTATGGCCCTTTGGCCCATATTAAAGCCTTTTTCCGGAAAATAAAGATGCTTATTTATATTCTCATAAGGTTTAGATAAAGAATATAAATATCAACGATGAAAAAATGAATAATGTTTTAGCGATAGAGTGAATTAAAGCTACCGATCCGAAATGTACGGGTCATTTAAGGTAAGACGTGGGGTGGGTTTGTACTTTGTCCAAACTTGAGCATATTTAATGTCCTAAACCTCAAATTTAACTCTTAATTAAATTTTAGTTTCAGACATTGAAATTCCCAAAACACAGGAAAAAAAAAAGTTTAAATTTTTTTGTCGGGGGAAAAATTGCTCAAGAAGGGGAGAGAGACGCGGAGCGCGGGAAACGACAAGTGGCCACGAGGCTATTAACCTGATTCATTGGTCGTGTTCTTTTCGGAGTCGTGCGACTCTACTAGCGACTCATTGTAAGTGTAGTTATGAGTAATTCAAAGGGTGTAAATTATGTGCTTTAGGAAAAAAGGTTTTTTACAGCAAAAAAAATGAATTAAGGAAATATTTTGGCTGTGAGAAAAAAAAGGAAAGCCAAAACTTCTAAAGCTTGATTGGATGTATTTCAAATCTTTAGAAATTTTTTTGCTTTGTAAAGACTATAAAGCACTTGCCAATCAGGCCCATTATCTTCTCCGATGTTTTCTCCGCAAATCTCCGGCAATGGCTTTTCACCGGCGACAATCGCTGCTTTGAAATAAGGTATAGGTGGTGTCGCTGTTAATTCCGGCGACTCCAAAATCTCACTAATCAAGTCGCAGCGACAGGAATACAAGGGAGGTAAAAAAGAGTTGAAGGTGATATAAAGGCTTTTTTTCTTGTAGCAGTCGCTGCGACTGCGATTCATTGCCGAACACGGCCATATTGTATATTTGGTTTTTGTTAAGTTAGTTCATGCTACTTTCCCGGCAAGAAATCATGAGCTTCCAAAATTTTAGGCATAGTTTTCTTTATAGATATTTTTGGAACGAAATTTAGATTTTATTTTCAGAATTAATATGATATTTTAAATGGTCAATCACGAATAAAATTGCATCAAAACTATTCAAAATTTTGGTCATATAATTTTATGCGTATTTTTCTTATCAACAACGTATAGTATGTGGAATTGAATTCAGTTATGACATAACACAAATACAAACAAAAACCAATATATTATATGTTTTGGTAGATTTTTTTCTTTACATATTAAATACTCCCTCTGTTTCGTTTTAGTTGTCGTTTAAGGTTTTGTCACACAAATTAAGAAAAATATTAAATTTTCTGTTTTACCCTCTATTAATATATTTTATAAAAATATTCATTGGCCGAAACATTAAAATAGTAAAGATAAAACCGGAATTTTCACCAAACATTTGCATCGAAAACCTAAAACGACAACTATTATGAAACAAAATTTTAACTCTAAAACGACAAGTAAAACGAAACGGAGGGAGTAGTTTTTATATTGACTATTTCCAAACATCTCCGTGCTAGAAAAAAAAAACAAATAAAATCATAAATATTACTCCCTCCGTTTCATAAAGAGTGTCGTTTTAAGGTTTTATTTTTGTTTCACAAAGAGTGTCGTTTTAGGTTTTCAATGCAAAATTTAATGATTTTTTATGTTTTATGACTATTAGTATTCTGCATATTGTTTTACTATTGGGCAGATTATGTTTAGGTATATAGTTAATGATGTTTTTGTTTAGAAAAAACAAAAAATTTAATGTTTTCTTAATCTGTGTGCAAAACTCTAAAATGACACTTTTTGCGAAACAGAGGGAGTATTAAATCTCGATTCATTCAAGAAAATGATGCATGTGATTGTGCATTAAATCCAACAAAATTATCAGATCGTACAAAACGAGTTGATTCACTAAGATTATGTACGATACTCTACACTGCCTTTGTTTATTTCATCATCATCAGAGTCTGTATTATTAGTATATTAAAAATGAAATCATGCTATTTTGGTTAATAATCGAAATGATATTGAAAACATCCGTATAATATCAATGGTATGCAACTGTTTATAGATAAAGTGATAAACAAATGTATCTGATACACTTTAGACTATTTTTATAGCGACCCATCGACGACTACATCTATTTGGTGACAATTACTAGTAGTTTGCTATTTTTTACGATGGAAATATTCACTGCATCAGTACTACTACATCTTTCGGTGACAATCACTAGTTTACGTTGTTTGCATTATTTTTTTTTTTTTAAAACAAACTTATTCGAAGCAACTTTCTTTATCGAGACACATTTTTTTACCAAAAAAAAAAACTATAGAGAAACAAACGAACCATACAGATTACAAAAAAAAAAAAGATTATAGTTACAACCAATCAGAAAATGATGTTTATTAAGTTTCATCAGTTCTTTGGTTGTTGAATAAAAAACTATCGTGTATTTTCCTCTTTTTTTTATATATAATATTATCGTGTCCTTTTAATATACACAAAATTGGATGTTTTTTTTTTTATAAACCCTATCGGCTGATCCGGTCAGCCTCGGTAAAAACGCACTGAAGTGTTTCAGAGTGGATTTCTCCCCGAAGGGCCACCACACTGTCTGTCCCGAATTTGAAATGTTTTCCGACTAATACCAGGGGTAGCCAGATCGCATGTTACTGGACTACCAGCTTGGCCTTTGCCTCAAGCCCAGACTTCCCACACAAATGTGCTTTTTGTTTCTAGCATAGATCGAACATGTGTTAGTTCCTTCAAAGATTTTTCCAATTCTTGACTACCACTGGAGCACAGCTGTGTGGGCACAGAATTGGATGTTTTCGTCAAGTTGTGATATTGAAGCTGTAAAGTATTGACCTTTTGAGATATTAAGCTGTAAAGGGAAGAACAGTCGAATGATTAGCTTGCTTCACTTGTGTCCCCATATAATTAGTTTAGCATAGTTATATTGTGGGTAACGCTATCTTTTTAGTATATCTTGACAAATAACATGAATAATAATAAATTTGCAAAACAAAAAGATTTCATCAGTATAACTTACTGTTGGAACCTTCATTTCTACAACACTTACTACTAATAGTGAATTTTGAAATATGTAATGCTCATTATTTATCCACTAAATATTTATTCCATTTCTATTACACTTTATCACTTTCAATATATACAATTCTCTTAAGTCTTAATGAATGAAGCATAATGATTCAAAGTCCAAACGAAGAGTACATCTTCAGTATCATTAGAATATAAAACATCAAATTAGTACTGTAATGCGTTTACTAACGAGTTAGTCTATTGATTATTTTAAGAAGTCTGCTTGTTCTAAAAACCCACATGTTATTTTAAAATTTTGAATTGATTAGACTAACGTGTGAAATAATTTAATTGTTACTGAAGGATTAATCATAAGTACTGAGAGCAAATCTTAAGTTAGACGATTGTGTCACATGAACGACTGAACGTCAGTATATATAGATCCTGAAATTGAGGTGGTCAAATTTTTTCATGTGTATTTTTGTTTTGTACTGAAAAAAATATCATTTCCATTCGCCGAAAGTCAGACTTTGATTCCATAATTTCCACTTTTGATTATAAATATAAGTTGTCAAAGAATATAACTCTGGGTTTGAATTGAATGGTAATAATAATATGATGATCCAGACGGACTAATATGTTTGCAAACTGGACCATATTATTTTTGAAGTTGATAACAATTGTTATGAACTGTTTTTTTTGGTGTATAACGATTGGTAAATGATTAAAAGACGGTTTGTTTTACAAAAAAAATTGTTACAACCATTGTCACCATTCGAAAAAATCTATAAACTGGAATGGTACTAGTTGGCGGAAAAAAATAATTTGTTTGAACTAAACCCGTTATATTTTTAAGACGAGTGATAGTTTGGTGTATTAAGTTCTTTTCTTTATAAAATTAAACCATTACAAATATAATCGTTATTCTTCTATTTTGTGGAGACCGCAATGTTCGACAAGAAACCAAAAATAGTTTTGTCTGTGAATGGATGGATTTGTGCATATCGCCTGCTACCACTATTCAAAGTTTACGGTTCAATGTTTTTATAAACGAAAATAATTATTCTAACCAAGATTAATGATCCAAGAAAATAGTTAAAGTCTATATTTTCTAGAGATTTATATTTACTGAATAATCATGTTTCTACATATCTAATTAATTATTGTAAATTCATATAGTGGATGAAAGATTCGTGAACTAGAAATTCGATTTGAAAAATACCTCATCCAAATACAGAATCAAACGAAAGACGACTAAACCTAAAGAAAATTGATTTGGTCGGTGTTCTTTGCACTTTTTACTTTCTTTTTTATCCTGTTTTTCTTTGTATTTATATTTATTTGTTATGTAATTCTATTATGCTAATGCTTTGTTCTTATTTTCCTCTTTTTTTTTTGTTTACTTTGGAAAAAGTAGTTGAATGTGTTGGAAAAAGGCATATGTTCTCTTCCTGCGGTTTTCTGTTAATGACTTTATAAGAAAATAGAAACAGCTACTCAAACCTTGTTTTTGAAGCAAGACATTAACTTCTTTTAGGATTTCGTCAACTTTTGCAACAAGCAAATTTATTCGAATATTTTATCTCGTTGATTATACATTGAACACTTTGGTTAGATGCAAACGTGATAGCGAAGAGGAATCTCGCAACATATAGTGGCCATAATAATACTCTTTTAGGCTTCATTACTCTTCTATTAGTCCATTACTGTTGTATATGAAACATTTACATGTTGAAAAAACCGAAATTAATTTTAATTTTGATCTATAACTCCCACGTAAAAGATATTGTACTGTTTTCAATGTATCAATCTATGTGGATTTTGGAATTATAAACATGGGAGGTCAAATGGTCAACTTAGCCCCATGATATGAGGTCTCCGTTTAGAAACTAGAAAGTAAAACCCTTTTTAAATAGCATAAAATTTCGTGAAGAAGATGGCACTCTCGATGCTGCTTGCTCGTTACCAAATTCGAGTTTTTAATGTCTATAAAATTGTACTATCCATAAAAAAAAAAGTATATAAAAAATACTAGTGTAGACAGTTAGCTGATAAAAATAACTTGCAAGTGCTACATTAGAAAATCAGAACTATGTACATATACTGTAACATATAAATAAAATTATTTTCCTTTGCAGAAATTTCTATATATAATCATCCCATCTCTCTCACAACTCACAACAACATTGAAACCCCTTTCCTCTCCCTAAACCACACTTTCATTTTTTTTGTGGGTCCTTTTTTTTTTCTTTCTCCAGGCCATTGTAAGCTCTAATCTTCCATACACACTCTCTTCTTCCTCATTTTATTCCGTACATACACACATATATTTCTGTTACCATTTAAGTAAATCATTAAGTTTTCTTGTGTAGGAAAAAAGGCAGAGAAAATGGAGATTTTCGGAAAAGTGATAATGTCATTGAGTCTTATGATGATGTTGATGTGGAAGAGTGTGGATGGTTACAGTAGTGGTTGGGTCAATGCTCGAGCTACATTCTATGGAGGTGCTGATGCTTCTGGCACCATGGGTAATTTGCTTACTCTTCTCTGTTAGTAATATGATTTTTATTTTTTGACCAATACAACTTTAAACTTGAGATCTTCTAAGAATTTTAAAATTTATATTAAAGTGACTGGTGAAAATTAATATGCTAATTTACATGACCAAAAGTTATGTAATTTACCAATAAGAATCTTAAAAGATAGACACTTTCTATCCTAAGCTTTAATAATGCATTTACATAAGTCTTATTTTTGTGTTGCTGGTGTTTTTGTGGGGATCAGGCGGCGCGTGTGGTTACGGGAACTTATACAGTCAAGGCTACGGAACGAACACGGCGGCTCTTAGCACGGCTCTATTCAACGGCGGCCAAAGCTGCGGTGCTTGTTTTCAGATAAAATGCGTAAACGACCCAAAATGGTGTCTCCGAGGAACAATCACCGTCACCGGAACAAACTTTTGTCCACCCAACTTTGCTCAAGCCAACAACGCCGGAGGTTGGTGTAATCCTCCTCAACATCACTTCGATTTGGCTCAGCCCATCTTCCTCCGCATCGCTCAATACAAAGCCGGCGTCGTCCCCGTCCAATACAGGAGGTACGTTTTCCCGATATCGGTTTAGCTCGGTTTGGTAATTGGTACGTGTGGTTTGATTTATGCTCTGTTTTTAAACAGAGTGGCTTGCCGGAGAAAAGGAGGAATAAGATTCACGATCAACGGTCACTCATACTTCAACCTCGTACTCATAACCAACGTCGCCGGCGCCGGAGATGTTGTCTCCGTCTCCATTAAAGGAACCAGAACAGGTTGGCAAAGTATGTCAAGAAACTGGGGACAGAATTGGCAAAGCAACGCAAATCTTGATGGTCAAGCTTTGTCCTTTAAAGTAACAACTAGTGATGGCCGTACAGTTGTCTCTAACAATGCTACTCCACGTAACTGGAGCTTCGGACAGACTTATACAGGAAAACAGTTCGGGGCTCAGAGGTGATGATGACGTGGACTTATGGAGGACAAAAAAAAATAAGTTTACTTAATATTACTGATTTTGGAGTTTTCTAGAGTTTGCATAGTTTGAAAAAAAGTTTCAGGAGTTTATCTGATTAACCCTAATCGAAATAACCAATTTCTGAATGGCGGAGGTTTTTTTTTTTTTTTTTTATCACCGGCAGCTTTTGTAATTCGCCGGTGAGACTGAGGTGAACATAAAGAAAAAAATAGCTTTGTGTTTTCACCCGCCGCTTGAGTAATTGAGTTTTTTTTCTTTTTTTTTTCTTTGTACTTTTGTTTGGCTTTGAGATGTCCAATGGTCTGTTTCTTTAAGGCATTGTCTACTCAAATAATAATCAAGTTATTTATTATGCTTTGCTTCTTCAGTTTGTTGATGGTTCTGAATTTGGAAGTGACATTTTCTAGAGAGATATATAATAAAACACAACAAAAATATTTTGAGAAAATTCATTTCAAAATTTTATGAAACTACACTTGTCGATTTTCAATCCATTCGAAGACAAACCCTTAATTTGATATCAATATCGATATTTTCTTACAAAGTACATAAACTTTCTACAATCACTAAGTAAACTCCATACTTATTTTCTTTAACTTTAGTTTCAAATATCTTTGTTTTTGCTCTAATGGTTAATTAATGTTAATTTTTATTTTATCTTTGACAGCTACGATCCTCCTGAAAACAGCTCCGGTGCAGCTTCACCCTTGTCTTCCAACTACATTTTTAGTTCAAGTTTTGCCATAAAACTTCTCGCTTCAACATTAGCCTCCTTGTTGATTATGTGTTTCAATCAAAGCATTTTTTGTTAATTCACCTTTGATGTAATTTTACTATATATTCCTTAGTCTCTAACTCATCAATCATGCTAATCAAACATCTAACGCAAACCAGAATCCAACATTCATCGTACAAAAGTCCACACAATCTAATAACAGGGCCGGCGTTAGGGGAGATTTTTAAGTTTTTTTTAAAAAAAAAAAAGAAAAAGGCCCATGTTTTTATTTTGTATGAAGAAAGGACTAATTTTTAAGATTTGTACTGGGACTCTAAATTAATTGAGCCGGCCCTGTCTAAGAATGCTTATATCAAACCGAAAGAAACACCCGTTTACTCAGTTCTCCAATCTTGTTCATGTTTTCCTTTCAGTGGACAAATATACAGAATTACATATCATCATGTCTTGAGATAAAATGCCACCGAATGAAAGGGGTGATAGGTTGGGCTGTAATTTTTTTTTACCGTCTTTAAACTCTTTTTACAATAATTATTTACCAATCCGATTAGAATAGTTGAGATTGGTTGGATTTTCGGGTATAGGCTTTTTGTTATTACATATCATCATGTCTTGAGATAAAATGCCACCGAATTAAAGGGGTGATAGGTTGGGCTGTAATTTTTTTTTACCGTCTTTAAACTCTTTTTACAATAATTATTTACCAATCCGTTTACTCAGTTCTCCAATCTTGTTCATGTTTTCCTTTCAGTGGATAAATATACAGAATTACATATCATCATGTCTTGAGATAAAATGCCACCGAATTAAAGGGGTGATAGGTTGGGCTGTAATTTTTTCTTACCGTCTTTAAACTCTTTTTACAATAATTATTTACCAATCCGATTAGAATAGTTGAGATTGGTTGGATTTTCGGGTATAGGCTTTTTGTTTTTTGTTTTTATGGGTTGAGTTAATTTGCGCTTCGTTGGTTTGGTTAAATTGGGCTTTGTTTATCTCTTTGGGTATATATCTCAAATTTCGTAAATGAAAAGAACATAATTGAGCTGCACATAAATTCTTTGTGCGGGAGTTGATTATCCAGTTTAGTAAATCTCCAGTCACACTTCCGAGGAGCTTGTGGGGATGTAGAATGGTTGTGACATTGAAACTTAGTAAGGCGGTTCTTGTGGAGGATGTTACTTGTCATATTTCTTTTCCATCCCTCAAAAAATGAGTCTTGAATCCATCAAGTACCCAGGGGGTGATGAATTTGTCAACAGGCTTATATCAAGTTGTCCAATTCTTGAAGACTTGGTTGTGAAGCGATGTGAAAATGACAATGTTACCATTTTCAACATTGTAGTGCCTTCTTTAAAGAGTTTAGTCTTGCATGAATCATGGGACAAATTTGTAGCCGAGGCTCATGGTTTTCTGTTAGATGCTCCTTCTTTGGAGTTGTTGGAAGTTTTTGATAATACCTGTAGGATTCTTGTCGTTACTAGTAATATGCCTAAGATTGTTGAGGCAAAGGTTGAAATTTCTTATGATCATCCTGGGAAGATTCTGGCTTCTATTGGTTCAGTCAAGTGCCTCTCTTTATGTACACCAAATCCGAAGGGAACATGTAGTTTCTGCTATCCGCATTCTTGATTTTCATGTAGGAATGACAATTTGAAACTATTCATGTAGTCCATTATGAATAGTTTGGTTCTCTTTGTGATAAAATCTGTTGCAATGTGTACTTAATGTTGTCTCGTATGCAGGACGTTGGTGGTATCTTCTGCTGCCTTGTACATCTAAAGATGTGTACATGCGAGCCAGAATGGTTGGAGCTACTTATGCATGTGCTTAAAAAGTCACCTAAATTACGAGCTCTCAAATTTGAAAAGGTACATGTACATATCTCTCAACCCACATTAATTAGTATGATGATTCAATGAACTTATACTTCTCATGTCGTTTATCTCAGTGCCCTGGACAGGGTGTAGTACCGTGCTCGCCCTGGATGGAACCAAGTTCAGTTCCTGATTGTCTTTTATCGAGCCTTGAAACTGTGGAATGGGTAATGTATAAAGGAACAGAGGAGGAGAACGAAGTGGTAGCATTAATCTTGAGAAGCGGAAGCTGTTTAAGGAAAGTAACTATACACCCTATATCAACCAGCAACAGCAAGAAACTTAGAATGATCAAAGAGTTATCGCTTTCGCCCAGGCGTTCGCCTACTTGTCAGCTTGCGTTTGACTGAAGTTACAGGTTCATACCTGAGGGAGAAGACATGTTCAATATTCGGATAATTTTACTCTCTTGTTGGTTACGTTGGTGATTGGTCTGAATTTTAGATTATATGTGTTATATAACAAAAATCCAGCAGCCACTCCGAGAAACTTGAGATGATCAAGGAGTTATCGCTTTCCCCCACAAGTTCGCCTACTTGCCGGCTTTCGTTTGACTAAAGTTACAGGTTCAGCTCTGAGGGAGAGGAAGTGTTCAGTTTTCTAGTGGTTTGGTCTGAATCTTAAGCACTTTATTATGTATTCTTTACTAAAAAACTTTCTTATATTCTTCTCTATGCGTCTTTGCATATGTATGAAGAAAGAAACATAAGGAATTTTTTTTCTTATCTCTTTCTTTCTTATACTCTTCTAATATTATATCATCAACCATTTTTATACAATGATTATTGTTTTTGCTTTTTTACTCATGCCCACTGGTTTTCACCCCAATCTAGCTCGAATTCGGTAAACATGGCTACAGTGTAAACCAAACTATTTTAATTCCGTCATCTCACAAATTGGTACGGGAAGCTAGAATGCGAATGAAATCCATCTTAAGAAGATAAAAAATAATCCTAAGTTTTAAATAACGTAATAGATGTTATATTATCCCAAGTACTTGTTACAGATTCCATTGGAATTTTCGGTTTAGCAAATTTTTTTTGGTTCCGGTCAACCCAATTCCTGGTTCATGTATATATAGCCTCATCACATCTTAGGTATTTTCCTAAAGCATACGGATGATGCTTTAGGTATTTGCTTATTCTGTGAATTTTCTCCTGATTGTCGTTTTGTTTGATTTTATTTGCTTCCTTTTCTATTTGTGAGTAGTTCTTGAGGAAATCTTAAGTATTAGCGAGTTTGGATTTTGTTTGCTTCTCTTTCTATATACCTCGCTAGGATTTTGCTTATGACTATTTGTTTGGTTCTTGAGAATCTCTCATATCCTTTGTTCGTCTTTTTTTTGATGTTTTCAGACTTTTAGATTTCTCCGGATGCAGAAAGCTCATAATTATGGATAGGATAAGTCAGTTGCATGATGAGCTTCTTTTGGGGATATTGTCGTCATTGCCTACTGCTAAAGATGTTGCGGCCACAATGGTTTTGTCAAAACGGTGGCGATTTCTTTGGATGATGGTTCCAAGGCTTGTGTACAATGCTTGCTATCAGGATATTGATTATGGAAGATTTTCGACCTTTGTAAACAGGTTTTTGTTGCTGCACAAGGCTCCACTTATTGATACTTTGCATTTCAAAATTGGTAACGCCTGTAGTAGTGGAGATATTCCAGCGTTGATTAGAGCTGCCGATGAACGTTGTGTACATGAGCTGATTATCGAGGTTTTTACTCCTAATAGTAATAATACTCCTGTCACACTTCCTAGGAGCTTGTTTACATGGTGCAAAATGCTTGTGACATTGACACTAAGGAACGCGGTTCTTACGGATGATGTTACTTACCCAGTGTCTTTCCCATCCCTCAAAAATTTGAGTCTTATATCCATGAAGTACCCAGGTGGTGATGAATTTTTCAACACACTTATATCAAGTTGTCCAATTCTTGAAGACTTGGTTGTGAAACAAATCCTCAATGACAATGTGTCCATGGTGACCGTTAGAGTTCCTTCTCTAAAGCGCTTAGTCTTGAACCAAGAAGTAAAAAACGCTGTTAATGGCATAGCTAATGGGTTTGTGATAAACACTCCTTCTTTGGAGTGCATGGACATTGTTGATCTTACGACTGGGTGTCACATTGTTGAGAATGATATGCCTAACATTGTAAAGGCAAAAGTCGACATTTTTCATCCCCAAACTGAGCAACTTTTGGGTTCTATCACTTTAAGCAAGTATCTTCATCTCTGCTTACCAACCTCAATGGTATGTTGTTTTTTTATTAGCTTGGTACAATATGATTATTGGTCTCTAATATATCCAGTCTAATTAATCAAACAATATTGCTTTTGTAATTATACTATCTCTTATTCAGAATGTGTCGTATCCTGCTGGTAATGTCTTCAACCGTCTCGTACATCTAAGGATATGCACATGTGAGACTGAGTGGATTAATCTACTTATGCGTATGCTAAGAAATTCCACTAGTTTACGAGTTCTTGAGATTGAACAGGTAATAATAATACATATTTATTTTTCTACTACTATATCAGAAAGATTGATCTGTTCGACTATACACTCCTATCCCAGGCCCATTTCCTTCGATCTTACCAACCACGACCGTGCTGGAGTGAACCAAGCTCGATACCTGAATGTCTTATATGCAATCTTGAAACCTTCAAATGGGAACATTATTATGGAGCAGAAGAAGAGAAAGAAGTGACGGCATTCATCTTAAGAAGTTCAATCTGTTTAAAGAAGGCAACTATCATCCCTCATAAGTCTATTTTCCACGAGAAGAAACTTGAGATGCACAAGGAATTGTCATTATTGCCAATATGTTCACCAGTTTGTCAGCTTGCATTCAGCTGAGGTGATGGTCAGTTTTAGATCAGCTATGTTACAACAACTTATTTGTTTTTTTCATAATTATCTCTTTGAAATTTTTAGGTTCTTGCTTTGCGTACTAAAAGAAAGAAACTTAATGAATGATCTCTATCTTTCCACAAACAGTTTGCTCTTGTGGTGATTTAAACACCTCTTGGTTAGAAGAGTGTTCCAATTGTCACAAAGTTAGATGAAATTTGTTTTTGTTTGATCAAAGTATCGAATCGATTGAAGTTTTTTTCCTTTTTTTTTTATGTTAACCTCTTCTATTTTTTTTATATGTTTTTTATAAATCTTAATGTTGCCCTCTCTATGCTTATTCTTTCGACAAGAAAAAGTGAGAAAAAAACATAATTAGGAATCTTAGATAAGCTATTAGAACTTGTTATTTTTATCTTCTTTCAGTGTCTATATAATTATGAAAGAAGCATAACTAGGAATCTCTGTCTTCCTCTAACAGAATTAAACACCCATTGATTAGGGGAGGGTTCCATTAATTGTCACAAATCTGGATGAAATTTGTATGATCCTTTGAAAATTTTATATATTTTAGGATCTTTTTACCCTTTTATTTCTCCACGGGTCTTCTACACTTCTAAATTCTTTATCTTAACTTTGCTTCTATATGCATTCTGCATATTCTTTTGACAAGAAAAAAAGGAGAAAAAATTGATGCGGAAATGAAGTAAATTTTACTGGAATTGGAAATGAAGTAAATTTCACTGGAATTGGAAATGAGGCCATCGAGTGTTTGTACAACAAAGAAGAACAAGGGTTAGTGAGAAACATGTGTACATCACGTGGAAGAGTCAGAGAAATAGAAAGATTCACATTTACTTTTTAATAATAGTTTGGCTTTTCCTTATTTAGTTTTAAGGAAATATGTTAAGAATTAAATCTATAAATAATGTAGCCCGTAGGGCAAAGAAATCATCCGATCAAATACACAAGGGTTTTAGGATCAAAACCTCGCTAGGGTTTTGCGTCGTTGCTGAAAGGTTTGGAGTTTTCAAAGAAGGTATTAGCTCTTAGTTATGGATAGGATAAGTCAGTTACCTGATGAGCTTCTCTTGAGAATATTGTCGAACCTTCCTTGTGCGAATAATGTTATGACCACAATGGTTTTGTCAAAGCGGTGGCAATTTCTTTGGATGTTGGTGCCAAAGCTCATATACGATGATACCTATAAAAACATTAAGCGTATAAGATTTATCCGATTTGTAGACAGGTCTTTGTTGCTGCACGAGGGTCCAGTTCTAGAAACTTTGCATTTTAAACTAGGTAAAACATGTGGTGCAGAAGATATTCGAGTGTGGATTAGAGCTGCAGATAAACGTTGTGCGCGTGAGCTGATTATCGAGATTTATAATTCTTCTGGTACTCATACTCCAGTTACACTTCCTAGGAGCTTATATAAATGCTGCAGAATGCTCGTAGCTTTGAAACTAAGTAATGCGATTCTCGTGGATGTTTCTTCCCCGATTTCTTTCCCATCCCTCAAAAAGTTGAGACTTATATCCATGAAGTATCCAGATGATAATTTTGTCAACATGCTTTTATCTGGTTGTCCTGTTCTTGAAGACTTGCAAGTGAAGCTATGTCCAGATGACAACGTGGTCATATAATGCGTTAGAGTTCCTCATCTAAAGAGTTTATTCGTGCATAAATCTAGGAAAATAGATACAACCGATGACGGGTTAGTGATATATGCTCCTTCTTTGGAGTGCATGAAGATTATTGATAATAGTGGAGGGTTTTGTGTCGTCGAGAATAATATGCCTAAGATTGTGAAGGCACATGTCGACAGTTCTGGTCAGCAGTTTTTGCTTTTGAAATCTATAACTTCAGCCAAGCGCCTTAATCTCTGCATACTAAACTCAAAGGTAATATGTTGTTGACTTGTTGTTTGTTTAGCTTGCTGCAATCTGGATTATTGGGGACTAATCCACTTTGAATAGCAACAAATCTTACGATCAAACATTGCTTGAGTACTTAATTAATTTCATCTCTTATATATGCAGAATGTGTATCCTGTTGGTAGTGTCGTCTTCCACCGTCTTGTACATCTAACGCTAGGCACATGCGATACTGGGTGGTTGGATCTACTTATGTGTGTTCTTAGAGATTCCCCTAATTTACGAGCTCTCAAACTTGAACAGGTAACTGGGGGTTTTCCAGTCCTAATGTCGGTATGCTAGCTTGAGATAATTTACTATACTTTCGTCTTGTTAATTTTTCCCAGTGTCATGACCCTGAAGATGAAGAAGAACCACGCCCCAGCTGGAGTGAACCGTGTTCAGTTCCTGAATGTCTGTTATCGAGCCTTCAAACTCTCGAATGGACAGAATATGAAGGAACAAAAGAAGAGAAAGAAGTAGTGGCATTCATCTTAAGGAACGGAAACTTTCTAAAGAAAGTAACTATAAACCCTAACTTCATCCACATCAAGAAACTTGCGGTGATGATGAAGGAGTTATTGTTTTTGCCCAGATGTTCGTCTTCTTGTCGACTTGTGTTTGATTGAAGTTACGTACATGTCAGCTCTTAGGGAGAAGGTACATGTTCAATCGTCAATTAAGTTCGTAGGAATCTTAATGTTATAATATGTTCGAAGCTCCTTACTACTAATTAACTATGTCTTTTTTTTTTTCCAAACAACCCTATATTTTTCTCTCGTTTTGTGTGTTACCATAATGGAAGAAACTAATACAATGTTATGGTCTTTTATTAAATTTATATAGAAGTTCAACAGTAATGAGATATGGGTAAGATATTAAGGAGCAACAGAAGAGAAAGAAACTTGAGATCCTTAAGAAGTTGTCATTGTCACCAAGGCATTATTAAATCAACGTACTTGTCAGTTTCCATTTGATTAAAATTAAGACAATTTTTCAAGTAACATCTTGTTTTTGTTGGTGTTTGATCCATTTGAAATCTTAGATAAGCTATTAATTAGGACGTTATTATTTTTATACCTCTTCCAAATTTGGCATCTCTGATTTTCTTAGTATACGGAAGAAAAAGTATTAATTAGTTTCCTTGGTATATCTTCATTCTACCGCACATCCCCTATATATTAATTGAGAAGCGTTTTAAATAAAAAACCTTACCTTCACGTGTGATTTACAAGATTGTCATGCTGACATGTCGCAACCAGAGAAACTCTGAGCAAACTTAATAATTGTCCAATATTTACTAGACTAATTACATATAATGCCATTAGTGGTACTTATGCATATTTTTCCTTTATATTTAAGAGATTAGCAATTAATAAAGGAAATTAATTAATAAAAACTATATATATTGACGAAACAAGTAAAAAGTATATAGCATAAATCATGATGAACAATATATAATATAAATGTTTATTATATGTTTTGTACTTATATTTTCTTATATGTTTATAAAAAACATTTAGAATTTTAACATATATGACATTCTATTTTTTGTTATAAATTACAAAACATCTAAATGTATATGTGAGCCCATATGTTTCTTAAATATATTTGGAACATAGTTTTACATAAATTAGTTAGTAACATTTCATTTATTACACATTCACTATGAACAATATTTCAATATTAATCTATGTTAAAAATGTATCCGCTTACTCATTATTTTCAATATTATTTCTTTTCAAATTTTGACCTTATCAATTTACTAAAACTTTTACACGGTTTCAATTTAATTAGTCATTTACTCATTTTAGTTACAATTTATTTACAACCCAATACCTTATCGTAACAATATAAATTGATTCATAAAATGAGGGATATGCGATAAATCAATCCTAACTACATAGAATTATCAAGAATAATAAATGATAATAAAATTTTATTACGTTTAAAAAATAATTATTTATATTCTTTTCAGTTTTTATATTGAATTGTTTCCAAAATAAAATCTTAATTAAAATACAAAAATATTCGAATATATTTCAGAATTATAGGAATGATATTTCAAAAAAAAATTTTGGTCAATATTTTAATTTAAAATCTTATTCCAAATATGGAATATCCTAATTTATAACTAATAAAATCTCCAAAATATATGAGTTACTAAATCATATTCAAATATTCACACTTATATATCAAGTGATAATATATAATCGGTTTCCAAAAAATTGTTTATATATTTCATATAACTATTTCTCCTCGCACATAGTGCGGATAAATCATCTAGTATTAATTATTTATGGATCTTTACTTCATTTTGCAACGTTTTCTCTTTTTTGTTTGGTAAGATTTTCCGGTTAAACTGCTTTTGGTTGTCTATTCTTGAGAAGGATGATACTTTTACATTATGAATAAAATTCAGACGATATTTAAAGGTAGATTTTCCACAAGTTACTTAAATTAAAAAAATCACATCATATGCATTTATGTTTGTTTATGTATACAACTCTACTTTCGTCATCTAGACCACGTTGTTAGATTAGGAGCCCAAATATTGAAGTAAGATATATTACTTATTTACCAAAAAAATAAAAACATTGAATCTTCTTTCATCGATCTCTCCTCAAGACATAGCATAAGAAAATGAAGATATCATCACTAGGATGGGTCTTTGTCCTTATCTTCATCTCTATTACCATTGTTTCGAGTGCACAAGCACCTCCTAAACCTAAGCCTGCACCAGCACCAACACCAGCACCTAAACCTAAACCAGCACCTCCTAAACCTAAGCCAGCACCAGCAACAACACCAGAACCTAAACCTAAACCTGCACCTAAACCTGCACCAGCACCAACACCAGCACCTAAACCTAAACCTGCACCCAAACCTGCACCAGGTGGAGAAGTTGGTAAGCATGCTAAATTATTTTATTTAGTTATCGTTAAGCACCTTAATAATGACGGGCTCTCCTATCTACGAAGGTGGATTGCGATATTGGTTTCAATCTCATTCTTGCTAAGTTCTTTATTGTAATTTCTTCCAAAATTTATTTCGCTTATTCGGCTTGATGTTGCATTTATTGTAAAACAATATTTTTTTGGTGAATATAAATTTACATTCATACAAAAAAAAAGAATAGTTGGAATATTTAGTGTTAAGACTAAAAATCCAATGAGATATGTTCTCCTTAAACGATAAACTTAATTTAGGGTCACAGAAACATGTTTGTTTGTTTGATTTGAATAGAGGACGAAACCGAGTTTAGCTACGAGATGAAAGGAAACAAGGGGCCAGCGAAATGGGGAACACTACATGCAGAGTGGAAAATGTGTGGAATAGGCAAAATGCAATCTCCGATTGATCTTAGTGACAAAAATGTCGTAGTTAGTAATAAATTTGGATCTCTTCGTAGCCAGTATCTGCCTTCTAATACCACCATCAAAAACAGAGGTCATGATATCATGGTAAATCAACTACCACCTTTTCCAATATATTTCATTTTCCTTCAAATATATCATGGACCAAAATTCATTCTGATTCTCGAAGTTTGTAGAAATTTGGAATAATATTTTCATTTAGACATGTACAATGGCAAAAAAAAAAAAAAAAAAAATTAGAACAATGGAGGTTCGCAGTTGGGATTCATTCCATTGTCTCGATCCACATAGAAATCATTCAAACCTGCACTATTGGATCACCACTCGGTTAATATATTTTGGTCTTGGGTCATAAAATTGTTTTTGGTTAATGTGGCAAGTTGAAATTTAAAGGAGGGAATAAAGGTATTGGTGTCACCATCCGTGGTATCAAATATCAACTTCAACAACTTCATTGGCACTCACCTTCCGAACATACAATCAATGGCAAAAGGTATCTTTGCTCGCACATTAATATTCTACCATATCTTAAATTATAACGTAAAAATTATTATTTCGCTGTTAAAATAATCTCTTGTATCCATCGCGGTGAGCCATGGTTAGTATAGGAATATGTAACCTGGTGTCCATCGATTATGTCTTTTGGCCTGATCATATATAGACCGTGTAGCAAGGTTATGCTTGTGATATTTCCGTTTGGAACACATTATTTGGCAGTTTTTTGGATGTTAAATAAAGACCATATATAAAAATAATTATAGTAGTGACAAATACATCATTTATTCATTTCAATGCCTAAATGGAGTGCTAATTAACGAAATCTTCAATCTTCTCAAAAAAATCTTATTCTAAGCTTCAATCTTTCAAGTCCAACATCTAATATATATAGTTTTGTATATAGGAGCCTAACAATAACTAATACTAATTTGTGTGTGTGATCAAACTGGCTTAATTAGTGAGGAAACTATTTTAGTAATACCTATTTTGTAAGATTTGATGATCGCATAAATTTTTTGAATAAAACACATAAATAGGTTTGCGAATCAATTATGGATTTGCCATTTTTTTGGATGGCATTTGTGGATTTTGCCCTTTTTTGAATAGTTTATGGATTTTACCCTTTTTCAAGCTACGGAAATATGATTTAACATGCGTTTTATTCGTTATGTTTGGGTTTAGTCGGTTGTGGTTGTTCTTAGGGTTTAGTATTTTGTATAAACTACGTATTTTTGCCAAAAAAAAATCGTAAATACGTACATTTTTAAGTGTAAAAAATGGCAAATCCGTAAGATTTTAATGAAAATGGCATTTTCAAAAGATTTTGATAAAAAAGGGCAAAATCAACAATAATCCCTAGGTTTGCGCTTGAGGAACATTTGGTTCATGAGAGCAAAGATAAACGCTACGCTGTTGTCGCTTTCTTATACAAACTTGGAGCATCTGACCCTTTTCTCTTTTCGGTATTGCAATCTCAACCTTCCTAGTAATATATAGTTTAATCAAATTAATCATTGATTACTAATTGAACAAAAATAGTAACTCAATTTTATTTTTTTATTGATTAGTTAGAAAAACAATTGAAGAAGATAACTGATACACATGCGTCCGAGGAACATGTCGGAATCATTGATCCCCAAAAACTCAGTTTTGAATCAAAACATTATTATAGATATTCTGGATCACTTACAGCTCCTCCATGTTCTGAAAATGTTATTTGGTCCATTTCCAAAGAGGTATTACTAATTAATTATTTTCAATCCCTTCCATTTTTTATATATACATCTAGCTATATAGTTTTTCATTCTAATCTATGATTATCTTTTATTTTATCTTTATTACCTAGTTAATAGCAATGTCTTATGTTTTAATAAACTTTCAGATTCGCACTGTGTCAAGTAAACAAGTGACGCTTCTCCGTGTGGCTGTACACGATGTAAGTTTTTTTTTTTTCCTGATTTATTATACAGTAAGTATATATAACATCATTAACATAACTTAAACTATCATATTAATACTTATATGCATATCTGAATTGCATATTTCTCAAGATATGAGTCTGTAGTGCCTAAATGTGATTTCTTATGGTCTATAGAATATTCAAGATAAGACCATCATGTTTTATCATCCAATTGATTACTTACTTTTCAATTTTTAAAAATGTTTTACAGGCTTCAGATTCAAATGCGAGGCCGCTTCAAGCAATCAATAAGCGCATGGTGTATTTATACAAACCAAAAGTTAAGTTAATGAAGAAATATCGTAATACAAGTTTTTACTAATAATCTTTAATTCTTTATAAAAGTTTTTTTTTCTCACCAAAAAAAAAAGAATTGTACACTAGAATGATGTTTTAGGAAACTGATGACTTCGTTTTGTTATTTAAAAATAGTTTCCCACTCGTGTTATAAATTGGTTTTTGTGTTACTTATTTAAATAAACCCTCTTTACCTTAAAGAAGGGTATGAAACAACACACCATCAGTTTCAATTCTCTTTGTAAGTGCTAACTATTAATGTTATGTTACGTTAGGCATAACATTAATTTCAATTCTCTCAGTTTATTTGGTAGTATGACATTAGTTAATGAGCGCATGAAAATACTGAGAATTGATCACACAGAAATTTCTAGCTCAGACATCTTGATTAGCCTTTTGTTCAGAGCAATCCTCTTGTCTAAATACAATGGAAGAGAATATATTGGAACGTTTTTAAGTTGATATGGTGAATAGACCTCCACACTCTGTAACCGGCCTAGTGTGTGGCAAAACAGAATTCTTATAGGGCCTTTGATAGGAAACAGATTCAGACAAGAAACATTAAACTATAAGCTATTAAGCATTAGTGGTAGTTTCACAAAGTTCTTTTGTTATTCTTTTTGTTCATATTTAGCTCTTTGAATCTCTTATGTTCTCACTCTGTTCTTTGCGCTTTAGAAGAAATGATCCTAAAACAGTAAAACTACTCTGTTTTAGTTTAGCTACAAGATATAATTAATCAATTTATGGTCATTGCTTAATCTGATAGTAAAAATGATATTTTTTATGCACGTAGGTAGTAGAATCAATTAAGAAAGTTTAGTCTCTTTTAGGATGCCTAATATTGTTGAGGCATGTGTTATGGTTACTGATAATCATCATGGGGAGATTCTGAGTTTTGTTACTTCAGTCAAGCGTCTCGATCCATATATGTTTACCAACCGCAAAGGTAGTATCTTCTTAACTATACGTTCTGTTGGTTGAATCGTTTTACCATCAGTCAAGCCTCTCTATTTATGTTGATTGTGTACTTTATTCTGATTTGTATTGTAGGATGCATTTCCTGTTGGTAGTGTGACTAGTGTCTTCCACCGTCTTGTATATTTAGCGCTATGCACATGTGAAACATAGTGGTTGAATACTTGAATCTATTTTTGTTTATGCTCAGAGATTCTCCTAGTTTACGATCTTTCAATCTTATTTTTGTACGTAGGATCTAAACCTGAAAATTTTGTATTTTCCTTGACCAGTATATATATATATATATATATATATGTTAATCCATTGTACTTGTATCAATACCGTATTGGGGATGGCCAACCACAACCGTGCTGGAGTGAACCGAGTTCAATTCCTGAATGTTTGTTATCGAGTCTTGAAACTCTCAAATGGGTAAGATATTGAGGAACAAAAGAAGAGAAACAAGTAGCGGCATTCATCTTAAGAAACGCAAACTGTTTGAAGAAGGCAACTTTCTCCCCCTCTAAATCCATCGACCACGACAAGAAATCTAAAATGCTTAAAGAGTTGTCATCATCGCCTATGTCGTCAATATGTCAAGTAACAAACATCTTTAATTGGTTGGTAACTTGATCTTGAAATCTTAGATAAGCTATTGAGAGACGTTATTATGTTGAAAAACTATTCAAGTCCTAAAATTATCGTATCGATCTGAATCTTTTATTAGTTTGTGAATACAACAAATAGTGAACACTCTATTGAAGAATGTTTACTCAATTCTAAAAATAAAGTTCACGCGTCTATAAAAGCTTTCATTAATCTAAAAAGTCTACATCAAACGAATATTTACATACAATTTACCTAGAAGAAGATACCTTATTATTCTCATTGCAACTAGAATATACAAGTTGTCAATATAATATAAGTATATATAACAAAACAAATAGTATTGGAAACGCAATTAAACGAAGACCACAGGCGTTGAATCAGCTAGTGATAGATTAGTAACAATAAATAAACCTCAAAATTAGTGAAGGAAGCAAAAGACTATAATTAACAAAAAGTCTTAAACTTGATTTGTAATTTTATAATCAAAGATGATAAATGCCAATTAAGACAAGGACATAAAGTAAAGAGGAAACAAGGAACGAGTTGGGGTTTAGAAGAGGACGTGGTTGGGTTGTTTTGTTTTGTTTCCTTCCACTCTTTCTTCTTCATTTCCTCGTTCTTTCTTTCTTCTCCATTTTTTCTCATATCCTTGGACAAAAAAATTGAGCCTTTTTCTGGGTTTTATTTTCTATAAAGGAATCGAAACAAGGAAGAACAGATTTGAAAAAAAAATTCTTGGGTTTTCAAGAAAAAGTAGAGACATTTTAAAGGTATGGGCATGTAAATTTCTGGGTTTTTCTTTCTTTCATAGATTGTGTTTCTTTATTATGTTTTTTTTTTTGGGAAAATATTTGACAAAGGAAGAAAATAAAAAGCTAGAAATTTGATTCTTTTTTTTTAAGGGTTTTGTTCCCTCTTTGATCTTTTACAAGATTCTGGGTTCTTCAGATTTTTTTTCTCTTTTTTTTTTGGGTTTAATTCTTTGTGGTTTTTATCCAAATTCGTGTAAAAATCTAAGCTTTGTCTGAATTTGATTGGTCAAAATCATTAAATTTGGAAATTAATGACAAAATCTACTCATTTGTATAAAGTTATAAACTTTTAAGGGTCTTAGACCTGAAATTTAAAACCTAAAGTGGAAGATGATTGACAAGTTAACAAATTTCTAGGGTTTCATTGTGTGTTCTTCTTGTTTGCAGAATCAAGAGATTTGGGGTTGAAGGAGGATAGATATGGAGGAAACAATGGCATCTAGGTATTGGTGTCACATGTGTTCACAAATGGTGAATCCAATAATGGAATCTGAGATCAAATGTCCCTTTTGTCAAAGCGGATTCATCGAAGAAATGAGCGGTAATAGCGGTGGAGGTGGTGGCAGAGGCATAAGAGACGTTCAAGATTCAGAAACCGATTTTGGAACAGACCGTGCATTGTCTCTATGGGCACCAATCTTGCTTGGAATGATGAGTAGTCCTCGGAGACGAAGAAGGTTTAGAAGATCAGAGTTTGGTGAAGAGAATGATGATAATGGTGATGAATTGAGTAATGCTGATGGGAATGATAATAATAATAACAGTAATGTGTATTATCATCATCGAGCTAGGCGGCATGGTGGAGAGATTGATTTGGATAGAGAGTTTGAGTCTATCTTGAGGCGAAGACGAAGAAGCTCGGGGAATATATTGCAGTTACTTCAAGGGATTCGTGCAGGGATTGCTTCAGAGTATGAAAGTTCTGATAACGATTGGGATAATTCTCGTGAGAGGGATAGTAATAACAATAGAGTTATAATGATCAATCCGTATAACCAATCGCTCGTTGTTCAGGGATCTTCAGATCAAAATCCGAATCATCCTTCATTGACTTCACTTGGAGATTACTTCATTGGACCTGGTTTAGATCTTTTGCTTCAGCATTTGGCTGAGAATGATCCTAATAGGCAAGGGACTCCTCCTGCTCGTAAAGAAGCGGTTGAAGCTTTGCCAACGGTTAAGATAATGGAACCTTTGCAATGTTCTGTTTGTTTGGATGATTTTGAGAAAGGAACGGAAGCTAAAGAGTTGCCGTGTAAACATAAGTTTCATATCCGCTGTATTGTCCCGTGGCTTGAGCTTCATAGTTCTTGTCCTGTGTGTCGATTCGAGCTTCCTTCTAGTGCTGATGATGATGATGAGACAAAGATTGATTCTGAGAGACCGCCGAGGACAAGAAATGTTGGGGAAAGCAATAACAGAAACATTGTTGAGAATGTGGGAAATGCGGAAAGAGGAAGACAGGATGAGGCGAGGAGCGGTAATGGAAGACGGTTTTCGTTTCCATGGCCATTCAGTGGATTATTCTCGTCTTCTTCTTCGTCTTCGTCTTCTTCATCCTCTGGATCTCAATCTGCTGAGAACAATTTCTACTCAAGATCTTCCGGTTCTTCTCGCTGATTAAAGAATATCAGAGAACAAAAACATCCAAAAACAGAAAAATCTTTTGATGTTCTCTCAGTTTTCTCATTTCCTAGCTCTTGAATTTGTTATTTCCTATGCATTTCATTCTCTGCTTTTATGTACATAAAAATGATGTTCTTTCACTCAGACTGTTGAAAAACAAATATCCATTGTTGCTGTACAGAGATGATCAAATTCAGTTTCCATTGTTTTAGTTTTCAAAATATGAAATATCTGTCAATTGAGTCCAAAATAATGATGAAAATATCCAATGATTCAATCTTTTTTCGGAATATTTGTGTACAGAGATGATCAAATTATGAGTGTTTCCATTATCTTTGTTTTTAAAATTGAGTGTTTTGAATATGAAAGTTATATTTTTCAGTTGAAGCCCAAATAATGATGAAAATATTACAAAAATGGAGATAATGATAAGTCTTTGTCGGAATGATTCTTGTATGGGGCGATTCATGCGCTGTCTTATTTTTGTCTTCATGTCCTGTCATTTTAAGAGCAATAACATTTTTCACCATTTATATATGGCGTATATGATAATTGATACGTGTATGAATGATCCAATAGTTTCCATACAACCAAAATATCCCAAAAGGAGCAGTTAAGTGGATTCACCGGTCACAATAGTTGTGGTAATAAGCAAAAAATAGAACTTGAGTTTTCTATCTCAAGATTTTAATCACAATCTTGAATAGTTTCATAATAAAACGTTTAAAGTAGCGTTCCCCAAACGCTAAAAACGTGATTTTTGATTGGAATCATCACTTGACCGTCAAGATCTTGATCACGGAAGCATTACCGACTCGGAGTAGAGCAACAACGGAGTCTCCAGTCTTGCACAGCTCTTTCTCTTTCCCGTACTGAGTAGCAAACTCAATAGCTTCTTCTGTTGATTCATCGTGTGAGGCTCTAGCGGATCCAGCGTAGAGCACCGGGATTAGACCACGGAAGATAAGGCTGTGTCTAGCTGGGGACTCATCGCTGCAAGACCAGTCAAAGAAGTCGGTTTTGATCTCAGGAACAACGACGGATAGAATAGGCATTCCTGGTCTGTACTTAGCAACAAGTCTTGCTGTGCTTCCTCCTCTGGTTAGGACCATGATGAGAGTAGCTCTAGCTGAGTTAGCAGTTCTTACTGCTGAGGATGCGAGTGACTCGAGTGGGCTCATTGGAACTGGAGAGTACAGCATGATCCTCTTGAAGACATCTCCGTAGTCGAGGGTGCTCTCGGCTTCCACGCAGATCTTAGCCATTGTACGGACAGCTAGTTCAGGGTATGCTCCAGCTGCAGTTTCACCACTGAGCATGACACAGTCTGTACCGTCGAGGACTGCGTTTGCAACATCTGTGGCTTCGGCCCTTGTGGGTCGAGGAGACTTGATCATGGACTCGAGCATCTGAGTCGCTGTGACCACAGGTTTTCCCTGGATGTTGCATTTGTATATCATCACCTTCTGAGCTAGGAAGATCTTCTCAATTGGGATTTCCATTCCCAGATCTCCTCTGGCAATCATGAAAGCATCCGAATTCACCAAAATGTCATCAAAATTTGCAACACCTTCTTGGTTCTCAACCTAATCAATCATAAAGAAGATAGCACAAAACCGTCACAACCTAAAGATTTGATCCTGTAGTTTCCGGAACTAGAAAGAGAGTTTTGATGTAGCATACCTTAGACATGAGAAGAATGTTTTTTGCGTGCTTTCCTAGAAGTTTCCGGACCTGGACCAAGTCTGAACCTTTTCTGACAAAAGACAGAGCAATCATGTCGATTTGATTCGGGACTCCCCATTGCATGATGTCTTCTTTGTCTTTCTCAGTTAAAGTTGGGAGATCCACAACAACACCTGGAAGATTGACGTTCTTCCTCTCACCGAGCATCGCACTGTTCTCACACCGGCAACGGACTGTACCATTCTCTTTGTCACAAGAGAGGACCAGTAACGAGATTGTCCCATCAGCGCAAAGTATGACCATTCCTGGGTTCACATCTACAGCCAACTTTTTGTAGCTCATGCAAATCGTGTTCTCGTCACCCTTCAAGTCATAGTCAGTCGAAATGGTGATCTCTTGGCCCTGTTTCAGCTGGATTGGTTTCCCATCTTTCAAGAACCCGGTTCGGATTTCTGGACCCTTTACAAGATAAAAGAAACAACCCTCCATTAGCATAATCAAAAATCAAATGATCTGCAACAATTTACATACACAAGATAGAAGTTGACAGAAGAAATCTTCAATTGAAAAACTAATCAAGTTAACAGTATCAATTGAAATTTGGTTAGAACATTTACTTCCCACACTAATGACATTCTCTAACCAGAAAACCATAATCATAGACACACTAATGACATTCTCCACAATTACAAGTTTCTAAAATCATCTATCAAATTTGTATTAACATATTCTTCACCACTTTCTACGTGCTAACATCATTTTATACATTTGGTCTTCTCAACCAGAGAGTCTCACAGATCTAGATTCATTTATTTATAATAAATTTAGTAATTCCCAGAAGGTAAAACATCATGAGAGTGAGGTTGGTAAGCGTTATTCATAAGCAGAGTTAACATTAATATCGCCTTAACATAGAAATAGCAAAAACAGACAAAAAAAAAAACCGTTTACCAAAGATAGATGAAAATACAAAAGAGGCATGAAAAAACATTTCACACATAGGAAAATAAAATAGACGCGTCAGTGTTGCAGATCAAAAAATAGAATAAACCAATCAAATACCAAAATTAAAAAAATCTAGAAACCCTAGAATTCCAGATCACAGTCGAATCCGAGTCAAAGAAGATGAAATTGGAAACAAAAACGCAAAACATGGAAGTATATAATCGAACCTTGGTATCGAGCATGACGGCACAGAGAATCCCAGTATTAAGCATAGCTTGATGAAGATTATCAAGAGTCTCTTGATGGTATTCATGAGATCCATGTGAGAAATTAAACCGAGCAACGTTCATACCAGCCCTAAGAAGCTTCTCGACCATTGGAACAGATCTGGAAGCTGGACCTAGAGTACAAACGATCTTCGTCTTCGGCCTTTGCTCTATCATCGCCATCGCTAGTGAAGAAGAAATAGACACGGAATCGAGGATCGTGGATGATTTTGTGGAAAGAGAGAGATGAAGAGAGATTTATGGAGAGAGATCTGGCTTGGAGAACAAGGAAAACACAGAGAAGAGAATCTGAGAAAGGAGGAGAGATTTTATGAAGAGTGAAGAGTCTTCTTCTAGATTTTTTTTTACTTTTTGAGGTAAAAAAAGTGAGAAATGAGAAATTGAAGGTCATTGGTTTAGATTTGGTCAACAAAAGATCAATTTGATTGGTTCACACCGGTTTAATTTTCTTTCAATAAAGGAGTGACGCACATTGTTTATTAATATTCGTTTTCGTTTACCTTTTTATGGCTTCTCGATCTATTGTCGGGCCATGGGTGTTTTTCCAAATATAAATATCTTCTCAATGATATTTTAAGTGTTTATTTTAGAACGTTGATTAACATTTGTTTACACGTGTAATTTTCACTTAATTTTTTTTATCAGGATATTAGTGAATATATGAAAAAGGGGGAATGTAGTTGTATTTTGTCATTTTCGCAATATTTTTTAAATAATTTCTAAATTTGATCTAGTGTAAGTGTTGAACTGCAATAATTTCACTCCGGAAATATCATTTTCGAGTTTGTCTCTACTGGTAATGGAATCTGTAAAATAAAGCATGAAAACCAAACAAAACCAAACCTACCACTTGTTTAGGACATTAAGAACCACTTTCTGACCTAAAAAGTGAACTTAGAGATGTTTGATAACATATGTACCTTAATATCGACGAGCTCCACTAATCTCGAATAAATTTAAAGACTCTAAAAAGCTTAAAAGATTTAGCTCTTCTTCATGTTTTTTTATATAGAGGAATCTTTCTTTGTGCTTAACCAAAGTTTGAACATTGTCTAAATACTTTTCATATATAGAATCTTCCATTGAACCCAAATGAGGTAAACTTGAACCTATCCTTCATTCTCTTCCGACCCAAAACTTTTCTCTGTTCTTTTTTAAGTCCTCTCTTGACGTTTGAGAGTGAGCAAGATTACTAGTCTGTCTAACTGACATAAATCTAAGCGCAGTGCGCATCTCGGTAAGAATTATTTCAGATGGAAATGATCAGAGTTCGTCATGATTCTGGGGTTTGTCTTGGTTCATCAACTTCTCGAGCTTCTGTTGTAGTTCCTATAAAACGACGAAACACCAGGTTTAGGAAGTGTTAAGTTAACTAGTGTAGGTCTGCTTTGAGATTTGAGATCAACAAAAAAACTTACTTTAAGTTTGTCTTCCAAACACCGTGCTGGAGTAGATAAGATCGCCGCATATCTGCAACAAGAGAGTAAGAATTAAAGGATAACAAAAGAAAAACTGGAGATAAAAGGGGATGATGACCCGTGAGATGTAACCAAAATAAGAACTTACTCGCAACGGCTTGGTTCATCGACATCCATAAGCTCATTTTTTAACCCACATCTTAGTTTCACCTGCATTTAGTGGACCAGTCAATCTTTTGTAATACTTAATGTCTGTGATCTTTGCAAGAGCAAGTCTCAGATTATGTTCTTTAGATAGTTGGACCCAATTGTGATTGGATAATATTTTTTGGACTTTTAACAATATCAAACACTTACCTTAAGGCTTCTATCGGGACCGTTCCAGCATTTATCTCCGTTGGTATATGACATGAATTGGTAAGAGTTCTCAAATTTGTCCCATTCCCTATTTTAACAAATCCCATAAAACAATATGATGAAGCATAGAAGGATATATATAAACACGGATAAAGAAATTACTAATATATGATTGTCAACTTCGAACCCATTTCTTGTTATTAGTTTTAATATATGTATCATGAAAGAGATCAGCATGCACAGAAAAGATACAGTGGCACGACACTTACCCTAACCGAGTTTTCGAATAGCCCTCCTCTTGTGTTGCTTCTTTATATGCGCAGACTTTGTAAGTATACCTACGACAATATTAAGGTAATAACAGTAAATGCAAAAGATAACCATGACCATAATACCTGATAATGCTAATAAAGAATGAATGTGACATTAAACTACTAAGATTATCCTTACTTGCCCTGTTTGCTCTCAAAACAACGACCATGGAATGAATAGAACTCTTTCTCCAGTCCTGTAGTAACAATATATAAGGACTAATTCAAAGAAAGGCAAACATAAGTGAAGGCTTAGGGTGTCTTATCATACAGACCAAAGTCTTGTTTTAGCTTCTTTTCTAAGCTCGATATCCTTGACTGTATTTTGTGCAGTTTGGAGCTCGACTCGTCGTATTCTTTGCGTACCCGATCAGCCTCTGCACATTCCACGACGACATAGATGAATCACTAAAGAAGATGAAAATCACCAATACTATTAATGAATATGCTAAGCTATTCTTTTACCCGATTTGTCCACTGGGGTGGTTTGAAATAAATTCACAGCCTGCAAAATGTTCTTGACAGTCTTTTGTATCTTCTCCAACCAAGTAGGATTTGAAGTTGACTCTATCCGTAACGAAATTCAATCATGTCAACTAAATATGATAGATGATTAACACCGTACAAGAATATAAACATCTGTGGAAATAGTGCAGACCTGAAAAATCGACATCATCATCGGCATCAGATTTGTATGAAGAAGTAGAATCATGGCGATACTCCTCTTCATAGGAATCATCTTCGGGTTCATGGTCGCTGTATTTCCCATCATCGCTGGTATCCTCGTCACCATCTGAAACAAATCCATCATCTTCATCTACTTCATGTGGAGTGGTGGGCGTGTGCTCATGGTTTTCCTGATCATCAGCTTTGGGGCTATCGTCTGCCTCAGTTGGCTTATCAGATTTCTCTCCTGTCCAACGAGAGGCAACAAGACGCCCCAACTCTTCCTTTGACAACTCTTCCTTCTTTTCGGTTACAAGATCCTCCTATCGATAGAATGTAGAGTACTTTGACGTTAGGGAAAAATCAGGAATTTAATAATCTCCGAGATAGAACTCAGAATGGGCAGAGTTAGTGACAAAATGCAATAGACAAGTCTCAAAAAGACAAGAGTATTCTACGGAAGTTCAGAGAAATATACTCAGATTTATGACAATATTTTGTAAGCACTTGGCCAGAATTGAAAGTAAATTACCACTTTCTTAACCTCGTTTGATTCCTCCTTTTTGGTACTACCATCATTTTGAGACCCTTCTGTGACGGAATCCTCAGATGAGGGAGATTCCTCCTTCGTCTCCACAACATGCTGCATTGTAGACAAACCTTATATCATCATCTAACTTCCAAGTAACAGATTGCACCACTTTCGGAAAAGGCATATGAATGAAATAATTCTTCAAACCTCGTCTGCTGGATGAGTGTGAGTAGCCTCTTCCAATATACTTGTTGCTGTTGGGTTAGCTTCAGCTTCAGCAGCTGGCTCCTGAAATCAAAGTCTAATTCAGTACCCGTTTGAATTACACTATCCGAAAGCAAAACACGAGAATTCAAGACATATAAAAAGCACTGAAGATATTGACGAGGGTTCATAGTCATGTGAATGAGTTCTAGATAGCCAAGTTTTAAGTGTCAATGAGTAAAAGATAGAGTTTCAAGCATCTCGCGTATTGAAACTTTAATATTTTATTTCATGACCTCATGATTCATGAATGAGCAGGAGGTCCAAAGGGGACCAAAATATTGAAAAATGGTTTGGTAAGCTTATCTTTCATGGTTTGACTTCTTATCTTGTTAAATAAGTGCAATAAAAAAATACAAAGATGAAAACGTGCAAATCTATTTCAGTTTACAAGAGAAGAACTAACCTCTTCTGAAGGATAATCTTTGTAATTACCAATCTCATCATGATGTGTGGTCTCATCGGGATTTTCATCGTGCTGTGAAACTTCAGGCGCCCCTTCATCATGTGAGCTTTCTTCAACTTTTTCATTGTCATCTGTCTTCTCCTCAGCATCCCCCTTTCCTTGCTGGGCTGCTAATTCGGCCTCTTTCTTTTCCTTCTCCTCCTTTTCTTTCTGTAGACGCTCCTTCTCCTCTACCTTCTCAATTTGTTCTTTACGATCTACAGAAGAAATGAAAACATGTCAACTTGGCAAAATTCTTTCTTTATCATCTGTAGTCATCATAGAAAGAAGTTAATGATCCTATCAGATTCCACTACGTCAACTACAAGTCATGTATTTTCTAACTTTCTACCCTTCCTTTTGGTGGTTAATGAAAATTCAAGAACTGATCCTGAGGCATTTCAAGCATCCAACTACACTTATATGCAGAGTTCCGCTTTCTCACGGTACCAACATATGTACGTTTAAGTTTCTCTAAGATGAAAACTAAACCTCAACTCTCATGCTGCAAAATCAGCCAACAAAAATATTCAACTATGCATCAAAAGAAAGGACGCCAAACCTTTAAGCTGATCAACAAGGCCTTTCAGAATCTTCTCTTCACTTTTCAGCTTCTTCAATTCTGCTGCATCTTTCTCTAGACCCACTTTCGCCTGTTCGATTTCCTGTCTCCTTACTACAAGCCCTTGATTATATGTTTCAATTTTTTTCTTCAGATTTTCTCGAGCAGCTTTCCCAGCTTCCCAACATGTATTTTGGCATGACACTTGGCCATCATACTCATCACTTCCATCACAACAATCTGCTCCCATAGGAAAACAAGTCATAAGTACTAATAGACTAACCAAGCCTTCAACGATTTCTTCCTCTGTATTGCATTTGAAAGTATAAATGCTTGCAAAGAAGAGGTTCAACAGAAATTAAAATGTAAATTACAGAATTTGAGTAACATACCACAAATACCATCATTGACTCTGGAAGAAAACAAAATCAACGAAGAGTGGCCTGCGTTACGACAATAGAATTTTCCATTTGGACAAGCTGAGGTACCTGGAGTTTTCAACACATAAAAAGCAAAGCAAAAAGATGATCCATCACACATAATCCCAAAAAGCAAAAAACTTTATTCCACTAAACACAAACTATAACTTCAATAATCACCAGTTATGAATTCAGAATGAAACTAAAAACATTTAATCTCTAATCACAATCCTAAACCAAAGAAAAGCTACACAATTGCTGTTCAACAGAGAAGAATCAATCCAATAGAAAAACACAAAATGCTAATGGGTAAAGAAGAGAAATTGAGAAAATGAAAAAGAACCTGGCTCGTCAGTTCCATCAGGACAATCACAGAAATCATCATTAAGTTGAGCTTTCGTGAATTTCTTTGATCCATCCTTACACTTTATCTCTGAAGATGACTTGTAATACTTCTCATCTACACACATCAACGAGAAAAAGAGAGATCAAATCGAAGTAATATTGGTGAAGATCTTAAGAAAAACGAAGCAGATCTTCAATGAGCAGAAATCCAAACCTTGAGGAGAAATGCCGAGAAACGGATCGTTAGGTGGAGAGGAGGTTGATCTAATAGCAGAAGCAAGGAGAAGAAGAAAGGATAGTTGCAAAGAGACGGAGACCAAGAATGATATTACCACTACTCTCATCTTCTTCGAGATCGGAACCGGAGAATGAACGGAGAATCAAAAGATTTGGCCACGAGGAAAATCAAGTGCAGTGTCTGAGAGACAAAAGTTTGGCAGATTTGATTAAACGACACCGTTTCAATTATGCATCCCGATTTGTTATACTTTCAACTATATAATTAAATTCAGCATTTCAAGCAAATTGGCCCATTAGCTCAGTTGGTTAGAGCGTCGTGCTAATAACGCGAAGGTCGCAGGTTCGAAACCTGCATGGGCCATCATTTTCTCGCTGCAACAAGCCAGTCATTTAGCAAAACAATGTCACTTTTTTTTTTGGTTGATGTCAAAATCACGAAGCTACTACATAGCAAGAAGCCAACAAAGTCAACATGCAGGTTTGGGCTTATAATGGGCCTAAACATAGCCCAAACCTAATTATAATGGATTTTTTTTCCTCACGCTTGACAACTAGGGCTTTCGAAGTCTGCCGCTTAATCAATGCATATATATATATATACTCATCTTCTCTTGTGTGTTGTTATATCCGAATCAATTTGTTTTTCTCCGCCGCATGTTTTTGTTTGATATACGAGTTTTTCAATTTACATTACTGTGTTCATTCGATATTTTGAAAAGAAAGCCTAATTTGCAAAGTCCTTGATCTATACAAATTATTTGTAATGGGGATTAAGGAATCTATCGTTAGGCGAAAGAGATGATGGATTTGTAATTATCTCCGGTAAGCTTATGTGAATCTCCGTAAGCTTGCTCTGCTTCTTAAAACTCCGAGTTTTCTTTTTCTTGACTACTGGGTTAATAGAAACAGATACATCTGTCAATCTCTGAATAGAATTCGCTTTTATTTTTGGTTTTTGATTATTATAGATCTAGTTTTCATTGAGTTTGTGAAAATCTGATTATTAGTAGTGGTTGATGGAATGGTGACTGGTGAGGGTGATGAAAAAAATCATTCGGATTCCCAATGATTTCCCTTACGTACGGGAAAGATGTGATTATTTACCAGCTACTTTTGACTCATCAATTTATATTTTTTGTTTATGTGTTTTGATTTATTAAATTTTGAAGTTTTTTTTATGGATTAACTATGTTTTTGTTTGGCCGGTGATGTAATTAATATATTTGCTACTCTTGATGAAGAAATTCTTCAGTTGATGATATTTACCACCAAGATCTCTGAGGCCTTTAAAATTGTTTTTGAAAATCATGTCCCATATAATCTGTTTTGTTTTACAATTTTTATCAACTTGTTAGTTTTGTTTGTACATTTGCATCATATTCCAAATACGATCTTCATTGATATTTGAATAGGAACCTTAAGATCAATTAGCAGCATTGACAAAGACAACTTTTGCTGAACTAGCATTTGTAAGATTGATTGATTATTACCCATTTATATACTAAAATGCAAAAAAAGTAAATTACCAAAGAGAAACCTTACCAAGGTGAAATTTTTTTTTTTCATCGGACTAACGAATTATCGCCACTTTCCCAGATGTTGATCATTCAGAATCAATCCCTCACAATAATGAACTAGTGACACATTCCCAAGAAATTGTTTGTCACAGTTGAGAGACGGTGACCACATCTATAGATTAAATCTCTGTCTAAATATAATTAACACCGTATGGCGTTTCGTATAGCACGGGAATTAGTACAAAACTTGATCCAATGGTGTTACTTATGTTATGCACTCCCAAATTCCCAATGAATTAATCGGCACCAATTTCAAGCTGATGGTTTATAAGCATGCACTACCAATAATCTATTTGAACTGATATGGAAGTTAGATACGACACTCATTACCCATTTGAACTGATATGGAAGTCAAGCAAGTAAGATTTAGATATGACATGCAATTCCGTTGAATTAATACCCATTTTTTGTATCCCACGATAGTAGTAACTATGATATATGATCAACCAATGAACTAATAGTAATTTCAAGTCATGCACGCCGATAAACCAGTGTACAAACTTCAAAATGATTTGAGACTGTTTGGAGTAAGATAATACTCTGGGACGTTTGTAATTATCGTTCTTTTCCTCATATAAAAATACAATTATTTATCATTAGATATTGATAAAATTTGGGAATATCAGAATATGTTGAAGGATATTACTGAGAAAGTAAAGAAATGGCTTTTAATCCATACTTTAACTTGGTCAATATTGAATAGATTTTAGTTCCCACGAAAATCTCGCTAAACCCAATGCTATATTTGATTGAATTATCGAAATTTAGAAGCCTATGCACACTTCCAATGGCTAAGGCCACTTCTTACATTGCTCTCACTTATCTTCTTGCATCTGGTTCGAACTCTTTCTTCTTCTTTAAAATCTTATGTTTTGACTGTGTGTACGTGTATGAGAGGTTGATTTAAAACCTCGCAATTTTGAGGTTGATTTATAGATATTTATATGTCGATGATTGTTTGTTTCCGTTACATTATATTGTTTATGTTATTTGTATGTTAAATGCAAAAAGATTTTTTGTTTTTTTGGTTGATTATAATTTAATTGTTTGCATATACAGTACATTTTTGTGTTTATGTTTATGACCTCCAAATGAAAACTGAAAAGATTTTTGTATCTCAAAGTGAGGATTTTTGTATCATATAGTTAAGACATTTGAGAGTTAGGGTTCTCGATAACATTGTTAGTCAACTAGACGCAGTTCAAATCTTAAAATTGACGACATGCACTTTTTTGTTTTGGCAAATGGGATGGAAGCATTATTAACTACGGTGACGCTTGAGAATCGTCAATGTGTACAAGGCATGGATTGCACCGACGTTTGTTCACACGGTGGTCTCTGCACCGAAAATGGTAAGTGTGTTTGTTGGTCGCCAAACGCAGTGATCAACAGCGGACCGCCGTGCTGGTCAGACGAAATGTGCTTTAGTACATGCGGTGGAAATGGTGGTTATTGTAACTATGATATTGGAGGATGTTACTGCCAATGATATCTTAGGAAGCTAGTGTTATTTTCTTTTCGGATGAATAGAATAGTTGTAGACTTGTAATCGACTAGTTTATGCCTCACATATTAAATACATAAATAAGTGCTTCTCGTTGACATAATGTAAGTGTTTCTGGTCGATTCCACATTTAGACCGAAACTTGTGTTTTCTTCCAATAGTTTGCTCATAATCCAGCCTATTCTTCAGCCCAAAAGGCCAAAACCTAACTTATTTATTTCTCAACCAAATTATTTCTTTTGTCCTACTCTTTTGCTAGTTCCTACTTCAAACTTACTGGTTTGTCGTTTCCATAGTTTAATTTATTATCATTGCCATATGGCTATATATGGGCATATGACCATATTTCCCAAAATTAAAACCACTGTGATCTGACTTGAGGAAAAAGTTTTCCGGTAAAGATGAAAAGCTATCTAAGGTGGAGAATATAATCTATATGTGATGAGTAAAGCTGTTTATCTTTTTTTTTTGGGATAAAAGTAAAGCTGTTTATTTTCTTATATTTAAATTATGACAACTACATATGTTTGAATAGGTGACAAATTGTTAATTCTAAAATATATAGTAACTTATAAGATAACAAAGTAACAAATACAAAAATACTAAAATGTTATTTTAGAATATCTCTTTAAAGTTAGAATTGATTTCTTTAGATAAAGACAATTCATTTCCTTAAAAGTTTTGTTGTGAAGTATACACACCTTGGCCTATATAAATAAGTTAACCAAATTGGCAACAAAAATATAGCAAAGACGAACCCAAAATTACAATCCAATTAATCCACCAGAAAATAAAATAAAAACAACAAACAGTACACATGACAAAGATCAGTTTCTTCTTAGCTACGTATGCAACCATCTACATCATATTATCACCTGGTCTGTCTTAATTTGTCCATTTCAACTATCTAGCTTTGTATGATCAAAGTATCTTTGTAATCACGTTTTTTAAAATATGGTCACACAGGGCTACTAGCCACGGCGGCGCGTGAGAATCTGCATCACCAATGCTTTTGCGAGTCACCAAGCACGTGTTCTTGCTTCCCACCATCACCGACACCGTCAACATCTGTGAATAAGCCACGGAAAAGCGCCGGACCACTATGTTTGTCAGACGGTGATTGCAAACATTTTTGTCGTCCGAAAAAAGGTGTTTGCAACATTGATTTCGAAACGTGTGTTTGTCACTGAAACTGTTTCAGTTTACAAAAATCATGTGTGTTCTAGTGATCGATAGATCCTCAATAAATAATTTAGTCTTTACATACTGTTGAACCCCGCGAAGAACGCGCCAATTCCGTGATCATATCATATTTCACTTTCAGTGTGGTGAGTCTGCTGATATGTGGGGAAAAAGTAGCAATCTTTAAACGCCTTGAATGTTTCAAGATATACGTTGCGAGTTCTCTCTCTCTATCCCCTCCTCTGTAGTTTCTCCACTCTAAAGTCTCAAGAACGAACATCAACGTTTCAGGAACAGAGCTTGGTTCATCCCAATGAAATGTAGAAACTCCACAAAAATGGCCATGGGTCTGAGTGCATTATTAGACCATTAGAGCTGATTTTAGGTTTGAAGAAAAAAACAACACGAAAACGTTTCATAGTTTATAGGGATTGAATGTTTTACCTCGTTAAGCTTGAGAGATCATAGTTTCGGTGAATGTTAGAGCATATTCATAAGTAGATCCCACTCCGTTACACAAGTACAAAACTCCAAAGTGTACAAGCTGATGGAATATTGTACCAGTAGGAAACGGAGACTGCAATACAAGACAACATAAACGTAAAGACTAACAAGTTTTTCGATTTTCGGTTATAAAGAACATCTACTATTGCTGTCAAGAGTAACTTACCTCCGAGGGTAAACATAACAAGAGACGTTTGAGTGATGCAAGATATCTGAGAATATCATCAATATTGCTACATGTAACCTCGGCATGTGCTTCCACGATTTCAGGCATATTCTCAACTATACAAAGTAGTAGTGGTCTACAAGAAATCAAATCAGAGCGATTGAAATAAACCCGAAAAAATCATTGAATGCTATTCACATTCGGAAAGTTAAACGAAGTAACTAGTAAGAAATAGATAACCTGTACCTTGTCGTCACTGAAAACCCTAATCAGTAGTTCTTTTTCAGGTTATATGTTAAGATTGTTTTATTTTCAACATATATATTCATTTAGGTATCACACTTCAATATACATATATCGCACAACAACAAAACAATTTTGTAGATATTTTGCCATAACTATCTTTAATATTTTTCAGAAAAACTAGCTTCAAGTAAAATTAACTTGTCAAATATCAACATTATCCAATTGAGTGTTTGCTTGTCGAATGTTCAACTTTTCTTCTACAAAAAAACTCTTTATAGAAAGGCATAACTTAACCAAAGACAAGCTCACACTCTGTTGAACCCCTCGGCAAACGCGCCAATTCCGTGAGCATACGATATTTCATTCCAAATGTGGTACGAAATTCTGTCCTCAGTTGTGTGGTGTCTGGTGGCGAAAAAGTCGCAATCTTTAGACGCCTTGAATGTTTCAAGATAAACCTTGCAAGATCTCTTTCTTTCTTCCATCCTCTGTAGTTTCTCCACTCAAAAGTCTCAAGAACGAACTTCAACGTTTCAGGAGAGCTTGGTTCCTCCCAGTGAACCATAGGATCTCGAGAAACAAAGCAATCATGATGGATCTGAGTGCATTAAAAGACCATAAGAGACTCATTCAGACAAGAAAACCGCAAAGCATTTCATAGTTTCAAAAGTTTTATTTACCTCGTTAAGCTTGAGAGATCGAAGTTTCGGGGATTGTTGGAGCATAGACATAAGTATATCCCACAGTGTCTCACAAGTGTAAAACTCCAAATGTTCAAGCTGGTGGAAGATACTACCAGTAGGAAACTCAGGTTGTAGTACAAAAACAAATAAGCGTAAAGACTACAAGTTTGATTCGATCACAATGGAAATCTAATGCTGTTAACAAGTATGTCTTACCTCCGAGGGTAAACATAACAAGAGGCGTTTGAGTGGTACAAGAGATCTGAGGATGTCATCAGTATTGGTACATAACACCTGCACATGTGCTTCCACGATCTCAGGCAAATACTCAATCATACACTCGGAACCATGATCTATAGTCCTAAAGTACTTCAAAGAAGGCGTATTCATCACAAGCTCAGAACCAGGTCTTGTTCCATAATAGATAAATCTTTGTAGCGAAGGCACCATAACAGAGAAGCTCGTCACGTTGTCAATGTCGTCTCGAGTCAAATCAAAGACTTCAAGAATAGGGCAGCTTGACAAAAGCTTCTTAGGAGATTCATCGTCTAGGAAAATCACATACTCCAGGTGCAGAGTTTTGAGCAACTTAAAACATACCGGGAATCGAACATCCACAAGCGATATGTTTTTTAGTTTTAGCACCACGAGTGTTCCACATGTAAACAAGCTCTGAGGCAATCTGATAGGCTCATTAATAAAACGATGATACTCGAAATTCAGCTCACGCAAACCTCGTCTTACTACGATTCCAACCCAAAACCCGATATCTACGTCCCTGCATTTCCAACCAAACTTGAAATGCAAACTCTCTAAGACTGGGGCCGTGTTTAATAGCAAAGACCTGTCCACAAATAGAAAAAATTCCCAAGGTTCAGCATACTCATGGTTTGCGATATACTGGAGTTTAGGCACCAACTTCCAAAGATTCCGCCATCGTTTTGACAGAGCACTCGTGGCTAAGACATCTTTTGTAGGAATCAATGACAGTATATGCAAGAGGAAATCATTGGGCAACAAACTGATACGGTCCATATGGAGTGCTCTCCAAGCTTTTAACCTAATGATTTTGCTGTCAACACTGAGAGAAGAAAACCCTAAATCAGAGACAAAACGACGAAGCAAATTCAAAGTTTGAAATCAAATTCCACTAGAGAGAGATTTGAAATCAACCAATGCTATTCACATTGAGGAAGCTCTAAGGAAGTTTAACAAAGTAAGGGAATGGCTTTTACCTGTAGCTTCTCGAGTCTCGACAATGGCAATGAAAGGAACTCGTCGTCACTGAAGAGTGAAGAACCCTAATTACACATTTTCCCCTCTTTTCTTTCTTCTATTTTTTAAAGTGGTTTTTGGGAATGGGTCGCGGGCCGGGCCTGACCATTGATTGCGTATTCGAGAGGAGAAGCAATTATCGTCGGTCCAAATACAGAGCATTGCTCATAGCGACCCATATAGCTTCTGCTTCTACAGTAAGAGCTGAAGGGATTTGGTGTTGAGTGTCCGAGAAGAATTCCAAGTCCATTCCTTGTGGTGAACGGAAGAACCAGTTCCTGCCAGGCGATTTGGAGAGAGTTTCTATCTCATTAAAATATCTCTTGCTGAAAAGTAATTGGTTACTTGAGATCCAATAGAAACAAATTTTCCATTACAGATGAATATTTAATGAAGGGACCGAAGCAGAAAAGGTCTGACCACATTATCATTTCCAAATCAATCCACTAGTAAGAGTTTAAGTTTAGGGCAGCTTCATAAAAGCCTACTAGAGGTTCAAAGATCGGCTTATCAGCCAAAACCAAAGGTTTTAACCACTCCAGGATTACAATATAGTCAAAATAAAAAAGTGGGCACGTTGAGAGACTAAAGGAGAGAGTTCCACACCAGCATTTAATCAAACACAAGCTGACATTCTACTGAACCCCTCGACAAACGCGCCAATTCAGTGATCATACGATATTTCACTCTCAGTTTCGTGCATGTGCTGACTTGTGGGGAAAATGTCGCAATCTTTAAACGCCCACACCAACATTTAATCAAACACAAGCTGACATTCTGCTGAACCCCTCGACAAACGCGCCAATTCAGTGATCATACGATATTTCACTCTCAGTTTCATGCATGTGCTGACTTGTGGGGAAAATGTCGCAATCTTTAAACGCCCACACCAACATTTAATCAAACACAAGCTGACATTCTGCTGAACCCCTCGACAAACGCGCAAATTCAGTGATCATACGATATTTCACTCTCAGTTTTGTGCATGTGCTGACTTGTGGGGAAAATGTCGCAATCTTTAAACGCCCACACCAGCATTTAATCAAACACAAGCTGACATTCTGCTGAACCCCTCGACAAACGTACCAATTCAGTGATCATACGATATTTCACACTCAGTTTCGTGCATGTGCTGACTTGTGGGGAAAATGTCGCAATCTTTAAACGCCCACACCAGCATTTAATCAAACACAAGCTGACATTCTGCTAAACGCCTGAACCCCTCGACAAACGCGCCAATTCCGTGATCATACGATATTTCACTCTCAGTTTCGTGCATGTGCTGACTTGTGGGGAAAATGTCGCAATCTTTAAACGCCCACACCAGCATTTAATCAAACACAAGCTGACATTCTGCTGAACCCCTCGACAAACGCGCCAATTCCGTGATCATACGATATTTCACTCTCAGTTTCGTGCATGTGCTGACTTGTGGGGAAAATGTCGCAATCTTTAAACGCCTTGAATGTTTCAAGATAAACGTTGCCAGTTCTCTTTCTCTTTTCCCTCCTTTGTAGTTTCTCCACTCGAAAGTCTCAAGAGCGAACAACAATGTTTCAGGAACAGAGCTTGGTTCATCCCAATGATGCGTAGGAACTCCACAAAAAGTGTAATGGGTCTGATTGAAATTTATGAGACCATTAAAGATTCAGACAAATAAACCCGCAAAGCGTTCTTAGTTTCTAGGGATTGAATGTTTTACCTCGTTAAGCTTGAGAGATCGTAGTCTCGGGGAATGTTGGAGCACACTCACAAGTTGATCCCAGTCGGTTTCACAAGTGCAAAACTCCAAGTGTACAAGCTGATGGAAATATCTCCCAGTAGGAAACTGAGACTGCAACACAAAACAACATAAACGTAAAGACTAGCTACAAGTTTTTCGATACGGTTATAAAGAACATTTACTGTTGTTTTCAAGTGTATCTTACCTCTGAGTGTAAACATAACGAGAGGCGTTTGAGTGATGTAAAAGATCTGAGGATATCGTCAATGTTGCTACTTGTAACATCGACACTTGCTTCCACTATCTCAGGCATATAATCAATCATACACTCAGAACCATGATCTATAGTCCTAAAGTACTTCAAAGAAGGCGTATTCATCACAAGCTCAGAACCAGGTCTTGTTCCATAATAGATAAATCTTTGTAGCGAAGGCACCATAACAGAGAAGCTCGTCACGTTGTCAATGTCGTCTCGAGTCAAATCAAAGACTTCAAGAATAGGGCAGCTTGACAAAAGCTTCTTAGGAGATTCATCGTCTAGGAAAATCACATACTCCAGGTGCAGAGTTTTGAGCAACTTAAAACATACCGGGAATCGAACATCCACAAGCGATATGTTTTTTAGTTTTAGCACCACGAGTGTTCCACATGTAAACAAGCTCTGAGGCAATCTGATAGGCTCATTAATAAAACGATGATACTCGAAATTCAGCTCACGCAAACCTCGTCTTACTGCGATTCCAACCCAAAACCCGATATCTACGTCCCTGCATTTCCAACCAAACTTGAAATGCAAACTCTCTAAGACTGGGGCCGTGTTTAATAGCAAAGACCTGTCCACAAATAGAAAAAATTCCCAAGGTTCAGCATACTCATGGTTTGCGATATACTGGAGTTTAGGCACCAACTTCCAAAGATTCCGCCATCGTTTTGACAGAGCACTCGTGGCTAAGACATCTTTTGTAGGAATCAATGACAGTATATGCAAGAGGAAATCATTGGGCAATAAACTGATACGATCCATATGGAGTGCTCTCCAAGCTTTTAACCTAATGATTTTGCTGTCAACACTGAGAGAAGAAAACCCTAAATCAGAGACAAAACGACGAAGCAAATTCAAAGTTTGAAATCAAATTCCACTAGAGAGAGATTTGAAATCAACCAATGCTATTCACATTGAGGAAGCTCTAAGGAAGTTTAACAAAGTAAGGGAATGGCTTTTACCTGTAGCTTCTCGAGTCTCGACAATGGCAATGAAAGGAACTCGTCGTCACTGAAGAGTGAAGAACCCTAATTACACATTTTCCCCTCTTTTCTTTCTTCTATTTTTTAAAGTGGTTTTTGGGAATGGGTCGCGGGCCGGGCCTGACCATTGATTGCGTATTCGAGAGGAGAAGCAATTATCGTCGGTCCAAATACAGAGCATTGCTCATAGCGACCCATATAGCTTCTGCTTCTACAGTAAGAGCTGAAGGGATTTGGTGTTGAGTGTCCGAGAAGAATTCCAAGTCCATTCCTTGTGGTGAACGGAAGAACAAGCTCCTGCCAGGCGATTTGGAGAGAGTTTCTATCTCATTAAAATATCTCTTGCTGAAAAGTAATTGGTTACTTGAGATCCAATAGAAACAAATTTTCCATTACAGATGAATATTTAATGAAGGGACCGAAGCAGAAAAGGTCTGACCACATTATCATTTCCAAATCAATCCACTAGTAAGAGTTTAAGTTTAGGGCAACTTCATAAAAGCCTACTAGAGGTTCAAAGATCGGCTTATCAGCCAAAACCAAAGGTTTTAACCACTCCAGGATTACAATATAGTCAAAATAAAAAAGTGGGCACGTTGAGAGACTAAAGGAGAGAGTCCCACACCAGCATTTAATCAAACACAAGCTGACATTCTGCTGAACCCCTCGACAAACGCGCCAATTCAGTGATCATACGATATTTCACTCTCAGTTTCGTGCATGTGCTGACTTGTGGGGAAAATGTCGCAATCTTTAAACGCCCACACCAGCATTTAATCAAACACAAGCTGACATTCTGCTAAACGCCTGAACCCCTCGACAAACGCGCCAATTCCGTGATCATACGATATTTCACTCTCAGTTTCGTGCATGTGCTGACTTGTGGGGAAAATGTCGCAATCTTTAAACGCCCACACCAGCATTTAATCAAACACAAGCTGACATTCTGCTGAACCCCTCGACAAACGCGCCAATTCCGTGATCATACGATATTTCACTCTCAGTTTCGTGCATGTGCTGACTTGTGGGGAAAATGTCGCAATCTTTAAACGCCTTGAATGTTTCAAGATAAACGTTGCCAGTTCTCTTTCTCTTTTCCCTCCTTTGTAGTTTCTCCACTCGAAAGTCTCAAGAGCGAACAACAATGTTTCAGGAACAGAGCTTGGTTCATCCCAATGATGCGTAGGAACTCCACAAAAAGTGTAATGGGTCTGATTGAAATTTATGAGACCATTAAAGATTCAGACAAATAAACCCGCAAAGCGTTCTTAGTTTCTAGGGATTGAATGTTTTACCTCGTTAAGCTTGAGAGATCGTAGTCTCGGGGAATGTTGGAGCACACTCACAAGTTGATCCCAGTCTGTTTCACAAGTGCAAAACTCCAAGTGTACAAGCTGATGGAAATATCTCCCAGTAGGAAACTGAGACTGCAACACAAAACAACATAAACGTAAAGACTAGCTACAAGTTTTTCGATACGGTTATAAAGAACATTTACTGTTGTTTTCAAGTGTATCTTACCTCTGAGTGTAAACATAACGAGAGGCGTTTGAGTGATGTAAGAGATCTGAGGATATCATCAATGTTGCTACTTGTAACATCGACACTTGCTTCCACTATCTCAGGCATATAATCAATCATACACTTATCACCACAACCCGAAGCCTTTAAGTACTTCAAAGAAGGTGTATTTATCACAAGCTGGGAATCACTTACACCGGTTCCATCATAGATGAATCTTTGCAATGAAGGCACATTAACAGAGAAGGTAGTCACATTGTCACCCCAGATTCTATCCACGAGCAACATTTCAAGAACAGGACAGCTTGAGAAAAGCTTCTAAGGGGATTCATTGTCTACATAAATCACCCATACCAGGTGCAACGTTTTGAGCAACCGAATACATACCGGGAATTGAACATCCACGAGCCATATGTTTTGTAGTTTCAGTACCACGAGTAATCCTATTGTAAACAAGCTCTGAGGCAATCTGCAAGGGTTAGGATAAGGATCATAATCGAAATTCAGCTCATGCAAACCTCGCTTCAATGTAATTCTAATCCAAAACTCAATATCTACTTTGATGAATTGTCTACCAAACTTGAAATGCAAACTCTCTAAGACTGGAGCCGTGTTTAATAGCAAAGACTTGTCCACAAACAGCAGAAATCTCACATGGTCAGAATTCTCGTCCGTATCGATATACTCGAGTTTAGGCACCAACTTCCAAAGATATCGCCATCTTTTTGACACAAGACTCGTAGTTAGGACATCTTTTGTAGGAAGCAACAAAAGTATCAGCAAGAGGAAATCATTGGGCAACAAACTGATACGGTCCATATGGAGTGCTCTCCAAGCTTTTAACCTACTGATTTTGCTGTTAACCTCAGAGAAGAAAACTCTAAATTAGGGACAAAGTCATGTTATAGCATTCGTAGACTAACCCTGAAACCATAAGAAACAGCGACTTTGCAGAAAACAGAGAAATCAAATCATACCAATTCCACTAAAGAGAGAATTGAAATCAACCCAAGAAAATCATCCAATGCTATTCACATTCATAAAGGTCTAAGGAAGTTTAACAAAGAAAGGAATTGGCTTTACTGTTGCTGCTTCTCGACAATCGTAAGGTTGAAGTCACTGAAGAACCCTAATTAGTAAGTTATGCCCTCTTTCTTTTATTTAACTCTATCTGTTTATTTTATTTCAATTGTAGCCCTAAGTTCACTCAGTTCTTTTTTTTTTGGGTTTTGCAACCAATTATCGGATTAATTAGCTTCAATTTTACTTAATTTGTTTGATTTTACCCGATTTAAATAAAACCTACCAATATAAAATATATCATGGTTTAAGAGATGTAACAAAATTGAGCTAAACTTCATAAAGAACAAAAACAGGCATCAAGCTTAGTTAACCAAAAACAAACTCACACTCTGCTGAACCCCTCGGCAAACGCGCTAATTCCGTGAGTATACGATATTTCATTCCAACTGTCGTACGTAATTCCATTCTCACTTGTGGGCAGTCTGCTGGCGAAAAGGTTGCGATCTTTAGACGCCTTGAATGCTTCAAGATAAAAGTTGCGAGTTCTTTCTCTATCTTCCACCCTCTGTAGTTTCTCCACTCCAAAGTCTCAAGAACAAACATCAACGTTTCAGGAACAGAGTTTGGTTCCTCCCAATGAAACATAGGACTTTGAGAAACAATAGTGTAGCCATGGATCTGAGTTCATTATAAGACCATAAAAGAACATTTTGTCAAGATAACCCGCAAAGTTTTTCATAGATTCAAAAGGTTATACTTACATCGTTAAGCATGAGAGATCGAAGTTTCGGGGAATGTTTGAGCATAAACATAAGAAGATCCCATTCTGTGTCACAAGTGCAAAAGTCCAAGTGTTCAAGCTGGTGGAAGATACTACCAGTAGGTAACTCAGGCTGCGGTACAAAAAACGAATAAGCGTAAAGACTTCAAGTTAGATTTAATCACAACATGATTCTACTAATGTTGTTGTCAAGTATATCTAACCTCTGAGGGTAAACATAACAAGAGGCGTTTGACTGATGCAAGAGATTTGAGGATATCATCAGTGTTGGAACATGTAACCTCAACATGTGCTTCCACAATCTCAGGCAAATACTCAATCATACACTCGTAACCACAATCTAAAGTCTTAAAGTACTTCAAAGAAGGCGTATTCATCACAAGCTCAGCACCAAATCCTCCATTATAGATCAATCTTTGTAACGAAGGCACCATAACAGAGAAACTCGTCACATTGTCAACGTCGTCGTCCTCTCGAGTCAAATCCAAGACTTCAAGAATAGGGCAGCTTGATAAAAGCTTCTTAGGAGATTCATCGTCCAGGAAAATCACAGACTCCAGGTGCAGCGTTTTGAGCAACTTAAAACATACCGGGAATTGTACATCCTTAAGCGAGACATTTTTAAGTTTTAGCACCACGAGTGTTCCACATGTGAACAAGCTCTGAGGCAATCTGCAAGGCACAATTTGATAATGCTCATAATCGAAATTTAGCTCACGCAAACCTTGTTCCACTGCAACTCTAACCCAAAACCCGATATCTACATCGCTGCATTGTCGACCTAACTTTAAATGTAAACTCTCTAAAACCGGAGCCATGCTAAGTAGCAACGATCTGTCCACAAACCGCACAAATATCCCATGATCAGCATTCTCATCGATATCGATGTACTGAAGTTTAGGCACCAACTTCCAAAGATACCGCCATCGTTTAGACAAAACACTAGTGTTCAAGACATCTTTTGTAGGAAGCAATGACAGTATGTGCAAGAGGAAATCATCGGGCAACAAACTGATACTGTCCATATAGCTCTCTAATCTTTTAATCTAAGGATTTTGCTGCCAACACAGATAGAAGAAAACCCTAAATCAGAGACAAAACGATGGTTTATCAAAATACAAAGTTTGATGTTTCTAAAGTTTTACTGCAATAAATCAAACCGAACCAATTCCACTAAAGAGAGATTGAAATCAACCCAAGAAAATTATGCAATGCTATTCACATTCAGGAAGTTTAAAATAAGGAAGAAATGGATTTACCTGTTGCTTCTCGATCACACTGACAAGTAATGAACTCGTGGGGGCACTGAAGAACCCTAATTAGACATTTTCCCCTAATTCGATCAGTTATAATTTTTTTTGGTTCGGCCGTAATTTTAGTAGTGCTTTTTGGTAAAAACTAAAATGTTAAATTGGGCCATGTAACTGGAATGGTTTATTGTAGTTGAATGATTATTATATATCAATGGGCTTAGGCCCATGCGGTGGGTCAATTTAGTTAAGGTTAAATCTGATTAGGGGTGATTGGTTTGGATTTTTTTTTCCCGCTTAAATCAGACTTTCCGAAAAATAGTCTTATTCGTTAACCGATCATAAGATTTGTTATCGTCTTATATTTGATTTTTCTTTGTTGCTATTTGTATGCATCAGCTTGTAGCTGAACTTTCTTTTGCAAATCGTATTTATAAACCTGATATGTCAAAATATAACTTTAAAATGTAGACTTAGTGGTACCAAGGTTTTTCTGAATTATTTCGACACTGTAACTTTTTTTGATATAATCACAAATAATTTTACTGTAGTAGTAATTTCGACTATATCATCATTTGGTTTGGATTTAAGGAATTTTACTTTTAAAATAATTTTAACAGACAAAATTTTCTCAATCACACTTTTGCTTATTTTACTTAAAAGTCAGGTAGAGATGGCGGTAAGATTTTTTTTTGTTAAAATTAGATTAAAGTTTGTTTTCTTTCCTCTTTTCTAGTTTCCTTTTTGGAGTTACTTAAGCTTTAATCTCTCTGAAATGGTATGGTCAAATCGGATATGTAATTATTGGAATATAAAACAGGGGCATTACTGACATGCTCATGGTTATAACATAACCTTTAGTAGCAATTTATGTTCTGCAACATCTATCAGTTATATTATAAATTAAGTACGGCGTTATAACCTAACTTCTCAAAATTCACATAATTTTATCAAATTATGTGATAAAATACATATTCCTCTCATATAATTTAACCGAACACTATCTCACATTCTGGTGAACCCCTGGACAAACGCGCTAATTCCGTGATCAGATGATATTTCTCTCTCACGTCGGTTGCCTCTGGGGAGAAAATCGCGATCTTTAAACGCTTTGAATGTTTCAAGATAAACGATGCAAGATCTCTTTCTTTCTTCCATCCTCTGTAGTTTCTCCACTCAAAAGTCTCAAGAACGAACATCAACGTTTTAGGAACAGAGCTCGGTTCCTCCCAAAGAAAGATAGGACCTCCGCAAAGACCGTTATGGATCTGAGTGCATTATTAGACCATTAATGATTTAGACAAAAAAAAACCTGCAAAGCGTTTCATAGTTTCAAGGGGTTATATTTACCTCGTTAAGCTTGAGAGAACGAAGTTTCGGGGAATGTTGGAGCATATACATAAGTAACTCCCACAAAGTTTCACAAGTGCACAACTCCAAATGCACAAGCTGATGGAAGATACTACCAGTAGGAAACTTAGGCTGCATTACAAGATACCAAAAACGTAAATAAAGACCACAAGTTCGATGATTTGATCACAAAGGAATTCACTAATGTTGTCAAGTGCATACTACCTCTATTATTAAACATAACGAGAGGCGCTTGAGTGATTTAAGAGACATGAGAATATCTTCAACGTTGCAACAGGTAACTTGGACATATGCTTCCACGATCTCAGGCATATACTCAATCATACAATTCTCACAACTATCTGTAGTCTTTAAGTACTTCAAAGAAGGCGTATTCAGCACAAGCTCATAATCAGATGCTGAATCATAGATAAATCTCTGTAATGAAGGCACCCTAACCGAGAAAGTAATCACATTGTCCTCGTCGCCTCGATTCAAAACCAAGACTTCAAGAATAGGACATCTTGATAAAAGCTTCTTAGGAGTTTCATCGTCTAAGTAATCCACATATAACAGGTGAAGCATTTTGAGCAACTGAAAACATACCGGGAATCGAACATCCACAAGCGATACTTTTTTTAATTTTAGCACCACGAGTGTTCCACATGTATACAAGCTCAGAGGCAATCTAATATGCTCGTAAATATGATGATAATCGAAATTCAGCTCACGCAAACCTCTTTGTACTGCAATTCCAATCCAAAATACGATATCTACTTGGCTGCATTTCCGACGTAACTTGAATTGTAAACTCTCTAAAACCGGAGCTGTGTTTAATAGCAATGATCTATCCACAAACCGCACAAATGTCCCATGATCAGCATTCTCGTCGACATCAATGTACTCGAGTTTAGGCACCAACTTCCACAGATACCGCCATCGCTTGGACAAAAGACTAGTTTTCATCACATCTTTTGTGGGAAGCAATGACAGTATCTGCAAGATGAAATCATTGGGCAACAAACTGATACAGTCCATATAGCTCTCCCAAAGATTTTGCATTGCTTGATACAATCTGTATAGAAACAAGAATTCGAATGCTTTTTCATATGGAATAAATCAAATCGAACTAATTCCATTAAAAGCGAGATTGAAATTAACCCAAGAGAATCAGTCAATGCTATAAGGAAGTTAAACGAAGTAAGAAATGGTTTTTACCTGCTGCTTCTCGACAATGGCAAGGAAAGGAAATCGTCGTCACTGAGGAGTGAAGAACCCTAATTACACATTTTGCCCTCTTTTCTTTCTTCTATTTTTCCATTTGTCTCGTATTTTTGTTTTATGTCATAAAGATTTAATTTTTAAACTGAAATATTATTAATTAACGGCCCAACCCAAAAGGGATAAGTCAACAAAAAAAAGAAAAGGGTTGACCAAAAAGAGAAACAGAGCAAATGGTCTGTATGGACTGTATCAGTTTGTTGCCCAATGATTTCATCTTGCAGAGCTAAAAGTTCATCTGATTCATTAGAGCCTTTTTTTCCAAACTGCTTATGAATCAGATGGTTTCAAACTTTTAGCTAAAGACAAGCTGACATGTCGTTGAACCTCTAGGCAAAAGTGCCAACTCTGTGAAAATTTCATTTTCATCCTCCAAATTGGTGTCTACTGATGAGAAAATCGCTTTCTTTAAATGAAACGAATGTTTCAAGAGAAACGTCGCGAGTTGTTTTTCTACATTCCATCCTCTGTAGTTTCTCCACTCCAAAGTTTCAAGTCCGAACATCAATGTTTCAGGAACACATCTCGGCTCATCATCCCGATGTTCCCATAATTCTCCAATATGACAGCCATGTCTCTGCGGATATATCATTAGACCAGTACTAAAGATTAGAGATGAGACTGACAAAAACCCACGAACCCCAAAAAGTTTCTAAGGGGTTATGTGTTTCACCTCATTGAGTTTGAGAGCTCCTAGTTTTGGAGAATGTTTGAGAAAAGACAGAAGTAGTTCCCATCCTGTTGCACATGTGCAAAACTCCAAGTCTACAAGCTGATTGAACATTTTACCAGTAGGAAACGGTGACTGCAAATAAAATCATAAAGACAATATAAAACTATATATGTTACTGGTTTTCTACTTTCAAGGAAAATTTTAAGTTTTTAGTAACTTACCTCTGAGGGTAGACATAGGGAGAGGCGTTTGACCGATGTAAGAGAACCGAGGATATTGTCGGTGTTCCAATAGATAACCTCTACATTTGCAGCCACGATCTCAGGCATTTTCTCAACCATACACTCGTAACCGAGATCGGAAATCTTTAAGCACTTTAAAGAAGGAGCATTCAACACAAAATCAGTCTCATCACCAGATACTCCACAATAGGTTTCTTTTGTAGCGAAGGCACCATAATAGAAAATGTTGTTACATTGTCATCTCTATCTCGGTTCACGACCAAGTCTTCAAGAATTGGGCAGCTTGATAAAAGCTTACGAGGGGATTCATCGTCTAAGTAAATCACCCAACTAAGGTGCAATGTTTTGAGGATTGGAAAACTAACCGGGAATTTAACATCCGCAAGCGATACATTGGTAAGTTTAAGCACCACGAGTGTCCCGCATGTAAACAAGCGTTGAGGTAATCTGCTACTGCTAGGCTCATTAAAATCGGAATGATAGTAATAGAAATCACGCAAACCTCGTTCCGCAGCAATTCTAACCCAAAATCCGATATCTACGTCGCTGCATTGCCTACGAAACTTGAAATGCAAACTCTCTAAGACTGGAGCCGTGTTTAACAGCAAAGACCTGTCCACAAACAGCAGAAATCTCCCATGATCAGCATTCTCATCACAATCGATGTACTTGAGTTTCGGTACCAACTTCCAAAGATTCCGCCATCGTTTCGACAAAACACTTGTCTTCAAGACATCTTTTGTGGTAAGCAATGAAAGTAAATGTAACAGTACATCATCGGGCAAGAAACTGATCCTGTCCATAGGACTCTCCAAGCTTTAAATCCAATGATTTTTTCTGACAACACAAAGAAATGAAAACCCTAAATCAGAAATGAGGAGACCAGAGATTCAGTTTTCTTTTTTTTTTCAATGCGAGAATATCCCAACTGAAGAAGAAAACGCTATTCAAAGTTTGATGCTTTGTCAAGTTCACTGGGAAAATCATAAGTAACAACGGTTTAAAGATAATAGAGGAAATAAATCTAAGGGCCGGGTGTGATTAATTGGTGTTTATAAAAGAACATGATTGTTATGTCTTTTATATTTTAATAATTTCAGATTTAATTTTAATGTATTAAAATTTATATGGGTAGATTTGAATTAACTGAATTTAATAAGATATTAGATCATGACCCGCACGTACGTGCGGGATTTCATATTTTTAAAAAAGTTCTAACAAATTTTAATTCAATATAAATTATTTCGTTGTTTTTATGATATATATTTTAGTGTATTAGATTTGGATTCACACGTATGTGTAGAGATATTTTTATAGAAATTGTTATATAGATTTTAAAAATATAAAATATTTTGTTGTGTTAGTGAACTTTATAATAGTACAAATAATATAAAATTAGAGTAATAAACGAAATTCAGTTGCATTATTGCATAGTTATATTTTAAGATCCGGACCTACACGTACGTGCGAAATTATATTTAAGATAAAACTGAGATATAATTTAGTTGCAAAAGTTAAATGATGTTACTTTTTTTATTTTCTAAACTAATCAAAACATTTCTAATAGTTTGATTACATGTGTTAAATAGGATATAGATTCGGTTTGAGTTTGGTTATTTCATGTATATTAGCTAGGCGTAACTATTTTAGAACGGAAAACATATCCCGTCCTATATCTCTCATAAATTCTTGGTCCCATAACCCGTCTTGTATACGTGAAATAAAAATATGACAGTCCAGTATCCGGCATAAATAGAATATGTGTAACTGAAAACGTACGTACAGGGTTATGTATGTAAACAAATTTATTTTATATAGTGCTCATAACCTGAACTCATACCAATTGGGTATTTAGTTTGATTTTTAATTTATGTTCCCCTCACATCCCGTCTCGTAATTCTTATTCTCATTTCATTCCAGTAAAATCATGTTCTAAATTTTTATTTGCGTACTTTTAAATACCATACAATTCATACTGTGAGTTTTGTAGATTACTATATATGCTGCTAAAGTTACAAATATATTTTAACAAATTTATTAATGTTTCTTTCTTTAGCTAATTTTGCATATTCTTCTTTTTATTGTTTAATCATAATTAATTTGATTTTTGGACTAAAAATAAAAATTTGAGATACATCTTTAAAAGGGATATGCTATTGCTGCATAATTTGTTTTGAATTCAAAATATATAATTAGTTTACATTATTTGAAAATTGTGTGCAATATATTAGGGATTTATTTAAAGAAGATCCGGTTGAAAAACAAAAAATAAAACGCAAAATAATTTAGAAATTAATATATACAATCTATTGTTAGATATTTATCAAACTTGCTTTAAACGAAGGCTATAATGATAATTACTTTAAATTTCTTATTATTTGAGTTTATTTCATCATAAATATAAAGAGTTGTTAATACCTAATATCGTATTTTAGAAATTGTGAAATAAAATTTTGTTTTATATTTTAAAATTTGTGAAAATATTATAACAAAACTGAATCTTAAAATATTTGTATTTATTTTTCTTACAAAATTTTAAATTTAATTTTAAAGTCCTCCATTGATAAATCTAAATGATAGTGTTTTTAATTTTGAATTAAAATGATATTATTTTTCTTTTTATTTTTAATATAGAATAGTCTATTAAAATTTGTTTTATTTTTGAATTAAAATCTTAGTTGGATATCAAATCTTAGTTTTTCAATTCCTATTGATTAACAATTTTTTAAAATTAATTTCAAATTTTCGTTTATAATTAATAAGAGAGAGAAATTAGTTTATTTTTTTGGAAATTAATAATTATTTAAAAGAATTAAACTATTTTTTATTTAAATATATTAATTTTTTATTACTATTGTACCCTTAATGAAGTTATTTAAAAACACTAAAAACTAATGGCATTTTTTGTAATTTTTTACCCTTTATAAGGTTATTTATTATCCAATGCTTCCCAATTAATAATATAGATATTAGCTATAAAAGCTTAAATGAAAGATGCGAAATATTTTGATGGTGTGAATGGTGCACAATCAAATTTGAGGGTTCCACTATTCACACCCTAAAAACAAGGGTTTGTTGGAGTTTAAAAAACTTTAAAATTGGAGTGTTTGAGAGCTTGTTGGAGATCCTCTCGCGAAGAGAGGGAAAAGAAAAGTGTGAGAGAAAAGGAATATAAAAGTGGGAGAGACCCGGAAAAGTTTTTTACTTTTTTTTGTTGGAGGGAGATATTACTCTCATTTATTATTTTATTCTACTTTTAGTGGAAAAAATTTCTCACTCATAGTTATGTGATTGGTGAAAGAGAGGGATTTAGAGGAAGTATAATTCAGAGCATAAACAATACCCATTAAACATAAATTGAAATATACCCAAAAATCATCATTCAGAAGAGAGTAAGAAAATGACTAACCTTGAAACTTTAACTAGTAGTTATGCCGTCATTTATTTTGTGCTGGAGTTCAAGTTTCATCATGTCGATGCTAGAGATCTGACACAAAATTTATATAACGAATTTTCCTATTAATCGCAACTGAAGTTCGACAATTACATGAGAGTAATGTCGAGCTAATTGATTACAAACATGAATCTAAGAGCCGAGCTGAATTGCCGAGCAAATTGATTGAAAATAAAGACTAGGAAAGCCGAGCTAAAGGATACTTGTTTTCTCCAGCTCTTTTTATGTGAACGCGGCGGATCCCCTTCTTGATAATGCGATTTCCCTATTTATAAGGACAACATTGTGATCTAGGGCTTTTCTTTTTCTTGAAAATTCCCCATTTTGCCCCTCCAAAGTCGGTGGTGATCTTTTGGGCCGAGCCGGTTGTGAGGTAGGCCGAACTCTTTTGTCTGGTAGTTAAAGATGAATTTGTTTAATTTTAGATTTGGCCCAAACTCAAATGAAGGGGAGTAACACATGTCCAACACATCATATTATTCTGAATTATATATGAGTAAAACATCTCTCAAATAATAAACACTTTAAATTATTAATTTCTCCTGTTTCGAGTTGGCTAAGTATAAAAATTAGCGCGATTAGGTAAAATATATTATATTTTAAAACTCTTATGTAGATATATGGTCCAAATAATATTATAAATTACCAATTCTATAAATTTACACAAATATAGCTAAAATAAGTATATGATTCTAATGTTGTTTGTATTTCCTTATATATATATATATATATATATTTTTTTTGTTGTATTACACATTTGTTGGTGTGTTATGTTTTTGAAAGAGTGGCAAGAAATTTGGATTCCACTTTAATATCATACGATCGAAACGATATAGGCAAACATTAGTATTTATTTTTGCAAATATAAAAAATCTAGAATAACTCACATAAATAGCTAACTAACACTCTCACTAGCCGTTTTAAAAAAGGCAATTCTTTGAATCCAAAAGACCCTTGCATGTTCAAGCATGAACTAGTTCATATCATAAGGTCCATCAAAATACTCTGTGCACATAAGCCATCGGCACAAAACACCTTAACATGTTTTCTTTGGTTACACAATTTCATTTGAAGACCAGCATGCGTTGGGTTTGTTTCTTAAATTGCGCTTTTGTAAATATTCAAATGGGTTTCATTGCTCAAGTTTGTTTTTTCCGGATCAGGAACATCAACAAGAACCGCACCACGAAGAACCAAGGACTCGAGTGTTTTACAAGTATACAAACTCTAATTTGATTCTCGCTTTTGAGCTTAAGTTCGGAATATTTCTTGTTATTTCGCCGACTTTTGTATAATCAATCATATATTCCAATACGCTTTTGTCAATAAAGTTACGGATGACCAACAAAACAATCTAATCCCATAGTAAAACTAATCATTTTAGCGCTAATCTACTCGAAATAAAGGCGAAAGTCAACAAAGAAGAAAAGGCTTGATTGACCAAGGAGAGAAACAGAGCAAATGCTTTAAGAGATGCAACAAAACTGGTTTCGAGACATTTTTCCCAAACTGCTTATGAATCAGATGGTTTCAAACTTTTAGTCAAAGACGAGCTGACATGTCGTTGAACCTCTAGACAAAAGTGCCAATTCTGTGAGCATTCGATGTTGCTTCTCCAAAGTGGTGACTACTGGTGAGAAACTCGCTGTCTTTAAACGACAAGAATGTTTCAAAATAAACGTCGCTAGTTCTTTCTCTAAATACCATCCTCGGTAGTTTCTCCACTCCAAAGTTTGAAGTCCGAACATCAACGTTTCAGGAACAGAACTCGGCTCATCCCAACGACGCCTTCGATTTCCAAGAAAATTGTTATGTCTCTGAGTATATATCATTACACCAGTACTAAATATTAGAGATACAAAAAAACCCGCAAGAGACGTTGAAAGTTTTGGTTTAAATGTTTTACCTCATTGAGTTTGAGAGCTCGTAGTTTTGGAGAATCTTTGAGTAGATACATAAGTACATCCCATTCTAATTCACATGTGCAAAACTCCAAGTCTACAAGCTGATGGAAGATTTTACCAATAGGAAACGACGACTGCATATAGAATCAAAAAGAAAATGAAACTATGTAATTTTTGTCAAAATTTGTTTTTTACTTTTAAGGGAAATTAAGTGTTTAGTAATATACCTCCATTGGTAAGCATAGCGAGAGGCGTTTGAGTGATGTAAGAGAACCGAGGAGATTGTCGGTATTCCAATAGATAACCTCGACATTTGCAGCCACGATCTCAGGCATTTTCTCAATCTTACACTCATAACCGCCATCTAAAATTTCCAAGGACTTCAACGAAGGAGCATTCAACACAAACTCGGATTCATTTTCGAGAGCACCAGATTTTCCATTATAAAATAACTTTTGTAATGTAGGAACCGTAATTGAAAAGGTTGTTGTTACATTATCATCTATAACTCGGTTTACGACCAAGACTTCAAGAATTGGGCAGCTTGATAAAAGCTTCTGAGGGGATTCATCGTCTAAGTAAATCACCCAACCAAGGTGCAATGTTTTGAGGCACTGAAAACTAACCGGGAATTTAACATCCGCAAGCGATACATTGGTAAGTTTAAGCACCACGAGTGTTCCGCAGGTAAACAAGCTTTGTGGTAATCTGCTAGGCTCATTAAAAATGGGATGATAAAAATCGAAATCACGCAAACCTCGTTCCGCAGCAATTCTAACCCAAAATCCGATATCTACGTCGCTGCATTGCCTACGAAACTTGAAATGCAAACTCTCTAAGACTGGAGCCGTGTTTAATAGCAAAGACCTGTCCACAAACAGCAGAAATCTCCCATGATCAGCATTCTCATCACAATCGATGTACTTGAGTTTCGGTACCAACTTCCAAAGATTCCGCCATCGTTTGGACAAAACACTTGTCTTCAAGACATCTTTTGTGGTAAGCAATGAAAGTAAATGTAACAGGACATCATCGGGCAAGAAACTGATCCTATCCATAGGACTCTCCAAGCTGTTAATCCAATGATTTTTCTGTCAATAAAGAGAGATGAAAAACCTAAATCAGAAATGAGGAGACCAGCGATTCAATTTTCATTATTCCCGATTCTGTATAATCTTGAGAATTCAACAAGAATATCCAAAAATAAAAACGTGATGCTTTCTCACGTTCACCAGGAAATTCATAAGTAACAAGGGTTTATAGAAAACAGAGGAATAGAATCTAAACAAAACACATTATTGAAAAATACTCAAAAATCATCATTCAGAAGAGAGTAATTAAGAAATGGCTAACCTTGGAACCCTAGTAATTTGTAATTATGCCGTCATTTATTTTGTACTCGAGTTCAAGTTCCATCTGATTATTTTGGGTTCATACTTTTTTATAGAAGGGTATATACGGAAAGAGTGGCAAGTAATCAAAACTCAAAATCCTTCACTAAGTAGCTAAGTAAAAAAAAAGCAGTTCTTTGAATCCAAAAGACCCTTACATGTTCAAGCATGAACTAGTTCATATGATAAGGTCCATTAAAAAGACTCTGTGCACATAAGCAATCGACACGAGACACCTTCACATGTTCTTCTTGGTTACATAATTTCAGTTGAAGACAAGCTCTGCTCACATAGTCACATGTTGGTGAGGCTCTTGATGACAAAGTTAGCTCCTTCAACATGTGGAATTTTTGTTTCAGATTGGTGGATTTCGAGAAGATAATCAGTCTTTATAACTTGTCCACAGTCCACTCAAAGGTTTTCAGATTGGATGAGACACATTCAGCAACATAACCTTGGCTGATTCCAAACGGGTCGAGCGGTCTGCGCCACATGGTTCTGTGGTAAAATGAGCTACCAAATGCAGTAACACATTTAGAACCTAAGAGTTGACCTTTGCACATGAAAACATTGGACTCTTTTTTTTTTTGGACCAAGGAAACCGCATCATTTGAGTTTAGGCAAAAGTGTATGTACTAGTTTGAGTTTGAGAACTCGTAGTTTAGGAGAATCTTGCAACAGAGACATAAGTAAATGCAATTTAGCAATCCATAAAGCAAAGAGTCAGGTACACTGAAAACTTTAACAACAAACTCCATAAGAGGAAATAAAACTCAAAAACGAAAAAAAGATCTGAAGAAGTTTGGTCTGAGAGTGATCAGCATGCAATTTTCAATTAAATACAAGCTCACAAGTGGGTGAAACCCTTGGCGACAAGGCTAACTCCTGAAGCATCTGCAGTTTCTTGTTGGCATCAATCGATTTAGCGGTAAAACTCGCCTTCTTCAAACAAACTGCGGTTTTAAAGATATATGTCGAAAGTTCTTTCTCTTCTTGCGTCCCTCCATACTCTACCCACTCCAAAATTTCAAGATTTGATGAAAAACATCTTGGAACAGAGCCCGGTTGATTCCAGTGAGGCCGGGGATTTGTAAGAGGATGACACTGAGAATCCATAAGGTTGCAATGTACAGTGCATCAGAATCATCATAGAATTGAAATTCAACGCTAAAGCAAATGTAGATCAAGAATAGTGATGATAAAACACACCTGATTGATTTTGATAACCTTTAAGCTAGGCGAATCTTCAACCAGATGCATGAATAGATCGAGCCACTCTGATTTGCATGTACATACCTCCAAATGTTTGAGTCTATGGAAGCAGCTACCAACAGGATACACAACCTGTATAAAAAGGATAAGAGACAGTATAAACATACATATAATGCTTAAAGACCGAGATTTAAGGCTGAAAGAAAAATTACTAAGAGACCAACAAATTTACCTCTGTAGCAGATAAACATAAACGAATATGCTCAACGGAAACAAGAGAATGCAGAAGCTTCTCGGGTTGGCTGAGAATAACCTCAATTGTGGCCTTCACCACAGCATTGATGTTAATAATCTCGCTAACCGAAAAACCACCCGAACGATCTACAATGTGCAAGTATTTCAAAGAAGGAGCATCTAACACAAGTCCTGTGATTCCACTAGAAGTTTTCGACGGGTCAATCATAGAATACCACCTTTTCTTTCTTTTTGGGACAAAAGATAACTTCTTCAAGGAAGGCAGTATAATCTTGAAACTCAGCGCGCAGGAATGTATATAACATTGTTGTATGAACAAGTCTTCAAGAACAGGACAATTGGGTAAAAGTCTAAGGAGAGAACTGGCGTTGGAGTATATCATAGATTTGAGGGACAAAGTTTTCAGAGACCTTAGACAAACGAGATCAGGAACATCCAAATAACCTTTCTTCAATTTCAAGACCACAAGTGTATCACAAGTGTAAAGATTTTTTGGAAGAAAACTATGCCGCGGATCTAAGCAGCCATCGTATTCGAGTTTGAGCTCCATTAGACCACGTTTCACAGCGATTCCAAACCAGATTGCAATATCATCATATGAGCATCGTCGACCTAACTTGAGATAGAGACTTTGTAGAACAAGACCTTCACGTGACATCAACAATCTGTCGACAAACCGTCGAAAATTCCCATAATCAGGCTCTTGATAACCCCAAGTTTCGGGAAAGTGAGTGCTATCATCAAACTCAAGTTTTGGCACCAACAACCACTGAGACTTAAAGCGTTTAGACAAAAGCATAGTTGGCATAACATCTTGTGTCCGAAGAAATGACAAAATCTTCGATAGGGTTTCGTCTGGTAAGTGACTAATTCTATCCATAGAAACTGAGGAATCTAATTAGCTCAAGACTAAAAACCTACACATGAAAAGGACCAACCTTTAGAGAGATTGGAAGATGAAACAGTAACAAAGTTGGGATTTTTCCAAGTGATTCGTTTCAAAAGAATAGAATAAGAAGAGATTACAACTACAAGGAGTGATATTGAATTGGAGAATTGAAATGACACCGAAACGTAATCACTAAAATCTAATTAAGGATCCAGAAATCGATTTGGTCGTTTGAAGATAGAATATAACAGTGACGGAGCTCGAGTGAGAAAGAGAGCGAGAGTGATAGAGAGAGAGAGAGAGAGAGAGAGAGGAATTGCAACAAACCTGCAACAATCCGACGAGAGATCGGCGAGAGATGTAAGGGAGTGAGGAACCCTATAAATCTCACTTCTTTTGTCGAGAGAACCAGAGAGGAAGAGCAAAGGTTCGTTGTAATTTTTCTAAGTTTTAAAAGGGTATTTTAGTCATTTGCTATTTTTGACTGCATAGATTGCTAGAATAGAACCCCTAGTTCTGCATAAATGCCAATAAATAAGGCTATAAGAAGAAACCAACAATGGTAGCAACAAGTTACTAGTCTTTTAACCTTGGATCTAACTCCTAGCAACCAAATGTTTACCTATTCCATGGAAGTTCAGCCATATCTTTGAATGCAATCTCGCATATTGAACTCCTAGATAACATTGACAACTCCATGAGCATCGCAAGCTTCTCTTCAGGATCTACTGATTTGTGATAGAAGGTTGCCGCCTTTAAACGACCAGAGTTTTTTAAGATGAATCTAGCGACTTGTTTCTCTACTTCTCTTCCTTCGTATGGTATCCATATGAAAGTTTCGAGACTTAGTTCGGGAACATAGCTTGGTTCACTCCAGCACGGCCATATATGTCCATTCCGAATTATATGGTACTAAGACACAAAAGGAAACAAAGTATTAGCCGCATTGTACTCATCAAAACTGAACAAAAGTTGAAATGGTTATATGAATCATTTTAGTATTAGAGAGTAAATCTTATTGTACCTGTTCTACTTTGAGAAATCTTAGTTTAGGCGAATCTTTGAGAAGACGCATAAGAAGATTCAACCACTCTGTTTTGCAAATACATAGCTCCAACCGTTCAAGCTGGCTATATGTTCTTCCTTCATGATATGCTTCCTATATATATAAAATGTAAAGTAAACAATGAAAGATTTAGTATGACGAAAACCCGCGCAACTTGTGTTCGATCAGAGAACAATAAGAAAAAAATCAATTACCATGGAAGTGGATAAACATATATAAAGTTGTTTAACTGAAGCAATAGGTCCTAGAAGCTCCTTAGTGCAACTATAGCCGACGTCGAGGTATGCCTTCACAATCTTAGGCATTTTCTTCTCAATGAGAAAAAACCCACTTGAATAATCCAAAATGTTCAAGATTTTCAAAGAAGGAGCATCTATCACTGACCCATGTGCATTGTCTTTAGGTCTATATGGTGATGTACTGAACACTAAACTCTCTAAAGAAGGCACCCTAATTGTGAAGTTGAATACATAATCATCCTCACATCGGTCAACAGCCAAGTCTTCAAGAACAGGACAATTGGATAAAAGCTTGTTGACAAATTCATCACGACCTATGTACTTGATTCGTATAAGACTCAATTTCTTAAGACATGGGAAAGAAATTATTGGAGAATAAAAATCATCAAGGAACGCGTTATTTAGACTCAATGTCACAAGCAAGCAGCTTCCTGGAATAAAGACTAGAGTTTGAGTATAAAAATGTGAAAAATCAGTCTCGATGATCAGCTCGCGCAAACATCGTCTCATAGCACATGCTCCAATATCTACAATATCAGCAGTATTTTGATTGAGTTTGAAACACAAACTTTCTAGAACCGGAGCTTCGTGTAACTGCAAATAACTGTTAACAAATTGAGCGATGTTATAATCATATTCAAGTTTTGGCACAAACTTCCAAAGAAACCTCCATCGTCTTGACAGCACCATTGTGGCCGCGACATCTTTCGCAGGTAGTAACGACAATACTTTCAAAAGAAGTTCATCGGGCAACTCACTTATCATATCCATTCGATCAACAGACTTCTCTGTCCACACCTATAAAACCAAACATAACAAAATAAGGGTTTTGAATAGCTTGAAAACAGAGAGAAGATTACAACAAAAAAACAAAATAGTAGTTTTAGATTCTTAAATTCCAAATAGTGATCATTCTTTTTTTGAACATATTACTCCGAGATTCAAAAAATAAAAATGAAAAAAAAATAGACGAAACTCACACCGAATACAATTTTGAAACCGTGAGATAGGTCTCTCTATATTGAGAGACGACGGAAACTACACAATGAGAGTCTTCTTAGCACACAAATTGTTTACTATTTAGCTGGAAAAATCAGGTACAATTTTCTTGTTTTACATATTATTTCATTGAAGGAAAAACTTATCCAAGATTCAAACTTATCCAAAGGTTATATATATATATATTTTTTTCTGATTTTATGGTAAATTAAAAAAAAAAAGAATGAAATGCTAATTTTTTTTTCTTTTCGTTTACTGTTATCTTTTTTTTGGTCAGTGGCCAATAACAACAGCAAATTTTGCACTTAAAAACAACGATAAAATTATGAATTTTACACTTTACTACTTTAGCAAATTTTGGGTATAACATTCAACCCTTCTAGTTTCTACTAACGCAGTTATAGACTTTCCATAAACAAGGATTCAATATAACTGCAAACTTTAACATGAAACTCCATAAGAGAAAGGAAAAAAAAACGAATGTTGCATACGTACACTGTCACTTTTTAAGAGTAGAATCAAATAATTTGTCAAAAGAAGAAGACATGTTGTTGAGAAGTATCTGAAGAGGTTTGATCTGAGAGTGATCACTGATTAGCTTGAACATTTCAATTGAATACAAGCTCACAAGTGGATGAAACCCTTCGCGACAACGATAACTTCTGAAGCATCTGCAGTTTCTTCTTGTCATCATTGGAATTAGCGGTGAAACTCGCCTTCTTTAAACAAACTGCGGTTTTCAAGATATATGTCGAAAGCTCTTTCTCTTCTTGCGTTCCTTCGTACTTGATCCACTCCCAAATTTCAAGATTTGAGGACAAACATCTTGGAACAGAGCTCGGTTGATTCCAGCGAGGCCGGACATAGTTAGCAGGATGACACTGATAATCAATAGGGTTACAATTTTTTTTTAAAACACAAATCTGATTCAAGGAGACACACAATAAAACATACCTGATTGATTTTGATAACCTTTAAACTAGGTGAATCTTCGAGCAGATGCATAAACAAATCGAGCCACTCTGATTTGCAAGTACATACCTCCAAATGTTTGAGTCTATGGAAGCAACTACCAACAGGATACACAACCTGCATAACAAGGATAGGAGACAGAATAAACATACGAGCAATGTGATGGTCAAAGACTAATATTCAAGGCTGAAAAGAACAATAAGAAACGAAAAAATTACCTCTGAAGCTGATAAACATAAACGAATATGCTCGGCTGAAGAAAGAGAATGCAGAAGCTTCTCGGGTCGGCTAAGATTAATATGAATATTGGCCTTAACCATCTCATTGATGTTCAAACTCTTGATAACTAAAAGGTCAGGCGAACTATCTACAATGTGCATGTATTTCAAAGAAGGAGCATCTATCTCAAGTTCCTTGATTCCATAATAGTTCAAAGATAATCTCTTCAAGGAAGGCACTACAATCTGGAAAATCAGACCGGGATTGGAATAGGGTCTTCTTTGTATGAGCAAGTCTTCAAGAACAGGACAATTGGGTAAAAGTCTAAGGAGAGAACGCTGGTTAGAGAAAAACACAGATTTGAGGGATAAAGTTTTGAGAGACCTTAGACAAACTAGGTCAGGAACATCCAAACCAACATATTTAAGTTTTAAGACCACAAGTGTTTCACAAGTTGTATATAGAATTTTTGGAAGAAAATGCCTGCACTTCGAGTATACGTATGAGCGTAAGTTTGACTCTGTGCATTCGAGTTTCAGCTCCACTAGACTACGTTTCAACGCGCTTCTAACCCAAATCGCAACATCTCCATCTGTGAAATGTCGACCTAATTTGAGATACAGACTTTGTAGAACCTGACCTTCCAGTGACATCAAAGATCTGTCCACAAACTGCCGAAATATTCTATAATCAGGCTCTAAAGCTCCCCCAAACAGAGGTTTGGGAAAGTGAGTACTATCATCAAACTCGAGTCTTGATACAAACATCCAGAGAGACTTAAAGCGTTTAGACAAAAGCATGGTTCGCATAACATCTTTTGTCTGAAGCAATGACAAAATCTTCGATAGGACTTCGTCAGGTAAGTGACTGATTCTATCCATTATATTTCGGAAACCAGAGACGAATGTTAGCTCAAGAAAAAAGGTATCTCAATGTTTTCTCGATTAACCTACACATGATAAGGAACCAGACAATCCCATGTATTAGAGAGATTGGAAGACGATTGAAGTGAAACAACGACAGGATCTTACGAAGTGATTCGTTTCAAAAAGCGAATTGTAAGAAGAGATCACAAGGGAAGGAAATAACTCACTCTGTTCCCTCGCCTATGAACCCTAATAGAAACTTGAGGACGGCGATGGCCTTAATAACAAAAATATTTGTTTTTTTTTCTTTCAGTTTTTGATTTATTTCCTTTTTGCGGTAGGTAAATTATTAAATACTCCATCCGTTTTCGAATAGTTGTCGTTTTAACTATATGCACACAAATTAAAAAACTATTAATGTTGTTAGTTTTTCAATATAAAAATATCATTAATTATCTACCTAAACATAATTTAACCAATAATAAATCAAGTTGCATAATAAAAATAAATATAAAAAATAAAAAAATAATAAATTTTGCATCGAAAACTGAAAACGACAACTAATTAAAAACAAAAAAATTTCTCTAAAACGACAACTATTCGAAAACGGAGGGAGTATTGTCTTTGATTATTTTTCTTTTTTTTTTGCATATATTGGATATTACTAATTTAATTACACTTTTCAGTTTTACGTTGCTTAATTTCTTAATGAATTACTAACAATTTTTAGCTTCAGGATCAAAATGTGAGTAACAATTTCTTTTGAAAAGTATAACTTAAAAAACTATAATTATATACGGTAACTTTAGAACCAAGTTTGCTAGGTTGAACCCTGAATTCCTCAAACATGTCATTATTAACCTACAAGCCTTATTTTTTTTAATAACTTTGGATCAAATTAAACCTCTAGTAACCAATTGTCACTGTTCCACTGGATCATGTACTCTCTTTGAATGGAAGCTGGCAGATTGAGCTCCTAGGTAACATTGACAACTACATGAGAACCTGATGTTTCTCTTTAGGATCTATTGATTTGTGGAATTGTGGTAGAAAGTTGCCGTCTTTAAACGACTTCCTAAGATGAATCTTGCAGCTTGTTTCTCTTCTTCTCTTCCTTCGTATCACACCCATTCAAAAGTCTAGACTCTCGAGACTTGACTAGAGACATTCAGGAAGATAACTCGGTTCACTCCAGCACGGTAGCCATACATGTTTAGACTGAATTTTGTGGTACTGAACTGAAAATGGTACAAGTATATAGCCGCATTAGACCCATATTATATGAATCATTTAGTGTTAAAGAACAAATGTGACTGTACTCATTCTAGTTTGAGAAATTTTAGTTCAGGGTAATATTTGAGACGATACAGATTAAACCACTTTGCTCGGCACGTACATAGCTCCAACCGTACAAGCCGGCTATATGTTCGTCTTTCATGATATGCTTCCTACATAAGATGTTAACAATGATAGATCCCACTGTCCCACATTTGTGTTGGAAAATAGATAGTTCATTTATTTAAAAACGAATTACGTACCATGGAAGTAAGGAAACACATATATAAAGTTTCTCGACTGAAGCAATAGATCATAGAAACATCTTAGTGCAACTATATTCTATGTCAGTATGTGCCTTTACAATCTTAGGTGTTTTATTCTCATTGTTACAAAACCCAAAAGAATCATCTTCAACGTCCAGCAATTTCAAAAAAGGAGCATTCAATCACAAACCTTAGCGCATCGCCTTAAACTTCTTTTTTTTGATGTAGAAGTTAACCATAAATTTATTAAATATGACACTCTAATGGTAAAGATCATCACATTGAAAAAGCCACATGTGTGGCTCCATGTGCACCGTCACTATCCTTTTAGTGATTGACACAAGAATTGGAGCAAAAACCACAAGATCAAGATGATAATCATGGAGATAAACCTAGGAAGATAGTATTTCTTTGTTTCTTAGTAAAGACGTAGAGAAAGAACATAACAAATTCAAGAGCTGAATTTGGAAAAGGAAAACATAAGAATTTCTGATACATGTTGCTTGACCACAATTACTTCACTCGAATGTAAGATGACATGTAGGTGAACGCCTTGACAAAAATGCCAACTCCTTGACCATCTCAAGTTTCTTGTCGCGGTCTGTGGATTTTGAGGAGATGGTTACCTTCTTTAAACAGCTTCCGTTTCTTAAAATGAATGCTACTACTTCTTTCTCTTCTTCTGCTCCTTCATATTCTGTCCATTCGAGAGTTTGAAGACTCGATATCACACATTCGGGGATTGAACTCGGTTCACTCCAGCACGGGCGTGGTTGGGGACCCGGACCACTATGGCCCTATAAATTGACGGGATAGAACTAGAAGTACAGTGAATTAGACCAAACAACATATCTATACTAAATTACTAATCCAAGGAAACTGAATAATTTGAGACGCATTATATGTACCTGTTCAAGTTTGAGAGCTCGTAAATTAGGTGAGTCTTTGAGAACACACATAAGTAGATTCAACCACTCACTTTCCCAAGTTCCTATCGTAAGAAAAACAAGACAGCAGAAGATACTACCATCAGGATATGCATCCTGCAATGTGTACAAGATCGCAAACACTCTACACCCTGTGTACAAACTCCTTGGAAGTATGGCTGGAGATGCACTAGAAGAGCTGTCGAACTCGAGAATCAGCCTACGCACAGAGCACTTATCAGCAGCTCTAATCCACACTCGAATATCTCCACTACCACATGTTTTACCAAGTCTGAAATGCAAAGTTTCTATAACTGGTGCCTCGTGCAGAAACAAAGACTTGTCTACAAACCACGAAAAACGTCCATATTCGAGATTCTGATAGCTATCATCATATACGAGTCTTGGCACCATCATCCAAAGCGGTTGCCATCGTTTGGACAAAACCATTGTGGCCACAACATCTCTTGCAGTAGGCAGTAAAGATAATATTTTCAAGAGCAATGCATCGGGCAACTCACTTATGCTATCCATAATTGAGAGCTAATTAACCCTTCCGCAAATCCTTATGCAGAAATCCTAAAGCCCTAGTGAAAACAGAAATCCCTAGCAAAAACAGAAACCGACCATCAAAATCATCTAATTGCAGCCGAAACATAAATGTTTTTTCTTTTAGTTCCAAACATTGATAGATGGATTTTGGGAATCTATCACTTTCATATCCGAAAAATAAAAGAGACGATAAATCATAAGAAAAATTCTACTTCACTTACAGTTAACTACCTAAAGCCTTCGTCACTTCTTCTTCTTCATCATCGAAGAATAATATACTCTAGTTTTTGTCTGCGATTAGTCAATAGAGACAAACCCTAAATCCTGAAATGGGTTCTCTCTTAAGCGTTCCCGCTCCTTTATAACCAAGTTATAAATTATTTTCTGCAAAAATAATAATGCGCTTCTAGCCATACCGGAAAATTTTAAACCAACCAATTAAGTTAGATTATTTGATCCAAGAAATCAAACCAAACCAACATAGCAACGCCCAATTTGTTGAAGAATCAAGTGTACAGTTTAAAACCGCAAAACATTACCAAATGACAATACTTATTCGGTATGTTTCTTTCTTCTAAGCAAGAACATAAGAAATTCTAAGAGCAAAATATAAGCTTTCCATATATCTAAGGTTTGGATCAAACACTCTCCAACCAGATATTACTAAGGTCAGACCATAGCTTTAGTCAAATGCAAGCTGACAGGTAGGTGAACGCCTGGGAAGCAACGACAACGCCTTTAGCATCTCAAGTTTCTTGTTAGGGTCGGTTGAATCAGTAGAGATAGTTGCCTTCTTTAAACATTTTGCGTTTCTTAAGATAAATGCTATTACTTTTTTCTCTTCTTCTGCTCCTTCATATTCTATCCATTCAAGAGTTTCGAGACTCCATATCACACATTCAGGAACTGAACTGGTACATATTGGAAATTATCAAACCAACCAAATAAACTAACTTTCGGTTTCAATTTAGTCACAATTATTTCAAACCAAGAAACTGAACAAACGCAAAACCATACTAAATCCTCAGAAAATTCTCAAAAGAAAAGAAAAGAATCATTACTCATAAGATGATTACTGCTGCATATATCATTCTAATAAATAGAGTCATAGAGACGTAGAGAAAGAAAACAAGAGAACTAAAACTCGAAATGATATGGAAAAGAAAACATCAAAAATGTGCAATAATGTTTCTAAGATTCAGAGAACAAAAATGAACCAACGTGATGTTACTGCATGTAGCTTCAGTTGGATAGAGTTAAGTTTTTTTAAATTGCGTTTCTAAAGATGAAAGTTGCTACTTCCTTCTCTTCTTTTGTTCCTCCATAATCATACCATTTAAGAGTTTTAAGACTCGATAACAGGCATTCAGGAACTGAGCTCGGTTCATTCCAGCAGGGTCGCGGTTCATCATCCAAAGCTTCATGGCAAAAATAAATTAAATAAGCTGAAATTAGTTAATGTAAAGTAGTGAATATGATTATAGAACCTGACATTAGACTGGAAAACTACCTGTGTAAGTTCGAGAGATTGTAGTTTAGGGGAATCTCTCAGCAAACACATAAGTAGATTCAACCACTCTGTATAACATGTGCCTATCTGTAAATGTACAAGACGGTGAAAGACGCTACCAACAGCATATGCATCCTGCAGCATAATAGGTAAATAAGCTATTTTAGTGGCAACATATTTGCAATGGTGGAACACTTAATTGTTTTAGTCATTCTTAAATAATTCTCTGAAAAGTAAATAAAATCAATTAAGAAGACGATAAGAGAATACACACAACATCACATACAGTTAGGATAATATTCTTACCTGAGTTACCTCTGAGGTTGATAAACATAAAGAGAGACGCTTGACTGAAGTAATAGAACTCAGAATATTCCCAAGATGAATATAAGCGACGTCAACATCTGCCTCTACAATATTAGGCATTTCATTCTCAATGACACAAAACCCACCTCCATAATTATCGAGAATGTCAAGTCTCTCTAAAGAAGGAGCGTCTATCACAAACCCAGCTGCAATACCTATATCTTCGAATTCTGCGACTGTTTTATTCAAGACTAAACTCTTGAGAGAAGGGACTTTTATGGTGAAAATGGTCACATTGTCATTTGGACATCGTTTCACAACCAAGCTTTTAAGAACAGGACAACTAGATAAAAGCCTCTGGACTAAATCGTCACTTGGGTATTTCATATATTTAAGGCTCAATTTCTTGAGAGATGGGAAAGAGATTGGAGAAGTGAAATCCACAAGAACCACTTTCTTTATTTTCAATTTTACAAGCATGCTACACCCTGTGTACAAACTCCTTGGAAGTATGACTGGAGCTGTACTGTTAAAACACCAGTCCGTCTTGATAATCAGCTTACGCACACAGCGTTTAAGTGCAGTTATGATCCATACTCCGATATCGGCACCAGAATTTTGACTAAGTTTGAAATGCAAAGTTTCTATAACTGGTGCCTCATGCAAAAGCAAAGACCTGTCCACAAACCGAGGAAAACTTCCAGAGCTATCATCATCATATATGAGTTTTGGCACAATCTTCCAAAGCAGTTGCCATCGTTTAGACAAAACCATTGTGGCCACAACATCTCTTGCAGGCAGAAAAGACAATATATTCAAGAGCAGTGCATTGGGCAATTCACTTATGCTATCCATTATTGAGAGCTAACCCCTCTTGAAGATCCTTCCGAAAAATCCCAAAACCCTCTATAGAAAACAGAAATCCACCCTAGAATTCAATGCGGAAGAACACTAGCAGCAGTCGATTTGTGTATCCAAACAGAGATCGATGAATTTTGTGAACCTATTTTACTTTCAAATCCAAAAGAATAGACGAAAAATCATAAGAAAATTCGCAAGGAAAGTGAAATACCTAAATCCTTGCGCCACTTCTCCTTGGGCTATCTTGTTTCTTTAGCCATAAGCTTCCTTTTAATAAACCCTAACGTCCTCTGTTCCCTATTTTTTTTTTTTTGCTTTTCACTTTGTAACAAGAATTAAAAATTACAGAAAAAAAAAATTCATCTGGTTATGCTCAAAAAGTCAAACCTAAACCGAACTGAGCCACGGCGGAAATCTTCAAATAAACATACTTTCGGTTTAAATTCAGTAACAAATATTTCAATCCAAGAAATCGAACACCAACATAACAAGCCAAGTTTGTGGAAAGTTAAGTCCAACCATACTAATAAATCGAAAAAAAAATATATGTTACAGAAGAAGAGAAAAGACCCATAAGATGATTAGTGCTGCATATAAACCAACTAACACATTAATTCTAACTTCTTCCGTTTGTTTCTTTCTTCTAAATATTATAGCAAAAACATATGAAACTCATAGAGATAATCAGTTGGCGGATCCAGGAAAGTATTTAGTATGAGGCACCATTTATTTTATTTGTTTTTTTTCAAAATTATTACATCTATGAAAATATAAATTTTGTAATAAAATATGTAATTCATCCATTCATATAGTTTGTTTCTTACAACCTATGTAGGTACTAAGGTACATAATGTATATAGATATACAATTTTGTAATACATTTCCATTTAAAAAAAGCATTTTTGAAATATATCACTACATTTACTATTTTAATTAATTAAAGAAATATCAAAACATATTTTGCTGAGAAGAAGTTGGAACTAATGAGGAAATGATTAAATTATTGTTTAAGATGAAGGAATAAAAAAGGGAAATGTGACACAAATGAGACTCGAACCTAGTGACCGGAGTTTTGGAATGTAGGAACCCTACCAATAATGCTAGGGTGTTATTAATAACCACTTGGATCAGATAATACAAAAGCTTTTAACATATCTTATGAGTTTACATATAAATATTCCTTTATGTTAATAGGTGTTTACATGGAAACACATTCCTCTAATCTGATTTGTGACCGTTATAGATACAAAGGTCTCTAAAACCAACCATGTAAAAAACATAGACAAGCCCAGCCTATGGAAGATTTCAAGGAAACAGTATATGTAGATCCTAACCATATAAAAGGATAGTCAACGCTACAGAAATGGATCAAAGACCATAAGATCAATTTTTCAAATGATGGAGATAAACCAACGAATGATATTAGTCCACAGAAAGCAGAGCAAGAACAGAGTAAAAAAAAAAAATTTTTTTTGATAAAAATATAACAACTTCAAAGAGCTAAGTTTGGAAAACAAAAACATAAAGAAACTCTCATAGCTATTCTCTTTATGAATCAGGTCAAACATGAATCATCGACTGTAGCTTCAGTCAAACGCAAGCTGACAGGTGGGTGAACGGCCTGAATGACAATGCCAACTCCTTAAGTATCTCAAGTTTCTTCTTCGAATTGGTGGAGTTTGAGGAGATGGTTACCATCTTTAAACAGCTTCCGTTTCTTAAGATGAATGCTACCAATTCTTTCTCTTCTTTTGTTCCTTCATAATTTACCCATTTGAAGGTTTCAAGACTCGATAACAGACATTTAGGAACTGGACTCGGTTCACTCCAGCTCGGCCGTGGTTCGTCATCCGGACGGGTATGGTACTGATTTAAATTGTCGGGATACAAAGGTCAGTGCATATATCAACATATATAAACTGAATAATTTGGGTTGGCGTATATATATGTACCTGACCGAGTTTGAGACCTCGTAAATGAGGGGAATCTCTGAGCATACATACAAGTAGATTCAACCATTCAGTGTAACATGTGCATAGGTGCATAGCTTTAAATATACAAGACGGTTGAAAACACTACCAACAGGATATGCATCCTGCAAAAGAAAATGTCATGAGTATACTAGCCATGTAGCGCGCTGCAACATAGAAAGCAAGAATGCATAAAGTTAACACGTCCCAGTTAACAAAACAATACCTGTGAGGTTAGACATAAATAAAGACGCTTTACCAAAGTCATAGAACTCAGAATCTTCCCAGGATTACTATAAGCGACGTCAACACCAGCTTTTAGAATCTCAGGCGTATTATTTTCAAAGACACAAAACCCACCCTTATCATCACCAATGTCGAAGCACTCCAAAGAAGGAGCATCTATCACAAACCCAAGAGCATCATCGTCAACAGTGTTTGGTGATTCACGCAAGAATAAACTCTTTAGAGAAGGCACTATAACAATGAAAATGGTCACATTGTCATTGGGGTCTCGTTCCACAGCCAAGGCTTCAAGAACAAGGCAATTTGATAAAAACTTCTTGACAAATTCATCGTTTGGATACTTGACTGATAAAAGGCTCAAAGTTTTGAGGGATGGGAAAGTAACCTCGGAAGAAAAATCCACAAGAATCACGCTGTTTAGCTTCAAAGTCACTAGCATTTTACAACATGCATACAAACTCCTTGGAAGTATGACTGGAGCTGTACTGGAAGAACAGTCCATCTCAATAATAAGCTCACGCACACGGCGTCTAACTGCAGTTCTGGTCCATACCCCGATCGACATCTACAGCGCCAGAATTTGGACCAAGTTTGAAATGCAAACTTTTTAGAGTTGGAGCCTCGTGCAAAAGCAAATACATGTATACAAAGCGCGAAAACCTTCCATACTCAATGTTCTGATAGCTATCATCATATACGAGTCTTGGCACCAACATCCAAAGAAACTGCCATCTTTTTGACAAAACTATTGTGGCTACAACATCTTTGGCAGGAAGTAACGACAATATTACCAAGAGCACTTCGTCAGGCAGCTGACTTATCAAATCCATACGACCTACTCCTTTCAAATCCCAAGATTTCTGATTCTGCAGATTTCCCTAACACCAAAGCCTGAAAAATCATATACGAACAAGCAATGTGAAACCCTAAGTGTGTGTTCTCTCTCTCAGGAAACAAAGAAGACAGTTATAAACAAAGACACATGGTTAAAGCAAACCATAGCTTATGAGTACATAATCCACAAATAGAAAGGGATTCAAACGCATCCTAACTCAAACAAAATCAAACAAGTACAACGGAGAGGAAACTACCTTAAAACAAACCCCTCCGATATTTTTCTTTCAACGGAGAAGAGTAACATCTACTTCATTTACGGCACCAACTCGTTGTTCAAATAGGAACCCTAGTCAATTTGAGCGGTGCAACTTACAAAATTCAACGATCGATTCATATTCCATAGACAGAGAATTAATAAATCTTTAAATCCGAGTGGTTGCCCCAAGGTCTTCCCGCTTCTTTATACATTTAACAACACAATAATGACAAAGCTATTAACTCGTTTGTTTCTACGCGCATCTTTCTCGCGTTGGTTTTACGTCCCAAAATCTTTTTCACGATTTGGACTTCGGATAATCCGACGCGTGAGGTACGTAGCTAAAATATCTTAGGTTTTGAATTTCAATTTTTATCAAACCATGTTATTTTAGAATTCTATATACTAAAAAAAATGTCTAATAAAATGAGTTATCTGACAAAATGAGCTTAGATTCAGATTGGGGAAAAACTCAAAACTAACACAAAAAGACATTTCACGGAAAGCACAACTATAAAATAGAGCATAAGCAATACATCAAAAAAAAAAATTTTTGGATAAATCGAATTTAAAAGGAGAGTGGGAAGACATGAGATCTCACTGATGTATTATTATATTTGTTGGTGAAGCAAGATATGGATGGGAATCTATGTTATTTCTTTTCTTTTTTTATATAGTTTGTTGTGTGTGACTGATGGTTGTAAAATGTTTTTTCTTCTATTATTTACAACCATCAGTCACACAAGAAGTGGGACGACAGACTTATAGTTATGGTTACATCATTAGGTTCCTCTAAGTGGTTTTGAGACCGTTATAGATCCAAATTCGAAAGTCATCAAAGTCTAAACCATCTATAAGACCAACATAAAGATGCCCAGCTTGTGCAAGATTCAATTAAAGAGTGTATAGTTTGAGAGTACCAAAACTGAGTACCCATAAGATGAAAATGATGTAGATAACCAAGGAAATATAGTTCTTACGTTTATTTCTTTCTTCTAGTACGAAGAAACTTATACAAAGAAAATGAGAAATTCAAAGAGCTAAATTTGGAAAAGGAAAAACATCAAAACTTATAAGATTTAATTAGACGAAACATGAATCAGCCTAATTTCACTTGATATGTCTTACTGTAGCTTCAGTCAAATACAAGCTGGCAGGTAGATGAACGCCTGATCGACAATGTCAACTCCTTGATCATCTCAAGTTTCTTGTCGCTGTCAGTGGATTTGGAGGATACAGTTACCTTTTTTAAACAGCTTCCGTTTCTTAAGATATATCCCACCAGCTCTTTCTCTTCTTCTGTTCCTTCATAGGCTTCCCATTCGAGAGTTTCAAAACTCGATGACAAACATTCAGGAATTGAGCTCGGTTTAATCCAGCACGGGCTCGGTTCATGAGCCTGAAAACCATGGTACTGATATAAACAGTACATAAGACAATGAATAAATTGGAAAATAATTACCGGGTCAAACACAATGGATGAATTTGGTAGAGATATACATATACCTGGTCAAGTCTGAGAGCTCGTAATTTAGGGGAATCTCCAAGCAATCGCATAAGTAGGTTCAACCACTGCACATCACATCTGCATAGCGTTAAATCTACAAGATGGTGGAAGACACTACCAACAGGATATGCATCCTGCATGCAAGACAGAATAAAGGACAAGCAATGTTAGTGACAATAGACTATTTGATCAAGTGAACACCAACTATTTCCGATGGTGGAATACGTATATATTGTTTTAGTCGTTTTTCAATAACTGATTCTGAAAAAAAAAGCAAGAGTGCAGATAGCAGAGTGATAAAAGCGATAACTTGCAATTAACAAGAAAATACCTCTGCGGTTGGTAAACATAGATAGAGATTCTTGACTGAAATAATAGAAGTTAGAATATTCCCAGAATGACTATGAGTAACGTCAACATCTGCCGTTACAATATTAGGCATTTCATTCTCAATGACACAAAACCCATCCGTATTGTCAAGAATCTCCAATGACTCCAAAGAAGGAGCATCTATCACAAACCCATCTGCACCATCTCTATGTTTGTCTACTGATTTATGCATGCAAAACTTCTTTAGAGAAGGCACTCTAACGGTGAAAACAGTCACATTGTCTTCAACGCATTGCATCACAACCAAATCTTCAAGAACATGACAACTTGATAAAAGCCTCTTGAAAAATTCATCACCTGGGTACTTAATGGATTCAAGACTCATTTCTTTGAGAAATGGGAAAGAAACCGGAGAAGGAAAATCCACCAGAATTACGCTGTTTAGCTTCAAGGTCACAAGCATTGTACAGCATGTATACAAACTCCTTGGAAGGATCACTGAATTTGTACTCGAAGAAAAGTCTATCTCGATGATCAGCTCAGGCACACAGCGTTTAAGTACAGCTTTGGTCCATACTCCAATATCTACAGCACCAGATATTTGACCAAGTTTGAAATGCAAAGTTTTTAGAGTTGGAGCCTCGTGCAAAAGCAAAGACCTATCTACAAAGCGCGAAAATCTTCCATACTCAATATTCTGATAGTTATCATCATATACCAGTCTTGGCACCAACATCCAAAGAAACTGCCATCTTTTTGACAAAACCATTGTGGCAACAACTTCTTTGGCAGGAAGTAACGACAATATTACCAAGAGCACTGCGTCAGGCAGCTGACTTATCAAATCCATACGAACTACTCCTTTCAAATCCCAAGATTTCAGATTCTGCAGATTTCCCTTACACCAAAGCCTGAAAAATCATATACAAACAAGCAATGTGAAACTCTAATTAGTGTGCGTGTTCACTCAGTAACCAAACAAGATAGTAACCAAACAAACACATGGTTAAAGCAAACCATAGCTAAGTACAGAATCCACAAAATAGAAAGGAATCAAAATCCAAACTCATAAAAGATCATACAAGTAAGACTAAGAATCAGAAGAAATTCACAAAAGAGGAAAATACCTTGGACAAACCCCTTGGAATTTTTAAGTACCAACTTGTCTTCAAATAGGAACCCTAATTGATTTGAGCGGTGCAACTTCCAAAATTCAACGAACGATTCAGATTCCATAGACAGATAGAATTAATGACTCTTTAACTCTGATCATTTCCCACAAGGCCTTCCCGCTTCTCGTACAAAACAATATCATAATGAGAATGACCTTGACTCGTTTCTTCTACGCGCATACTACTCGCGTTTGTTTTACGTGCCAAAGTCTTTCTCACCATTTGGCTTTGGAGAATCCGTGAGTGTGAGGTAGCTCAAATATCTTAGGTTTCAATTTTCAATTTTTTTTATAAGACCGTGTATTTTAAAATTTTTACATATTAAAATATTTTAAAGATACTGATATTCATTCTGAAATCATTTCTATGTCAACTAATTAAACAAAACGCACAAATGAAACTCACTACTCCAACCAGAGGTGTGTTAGTCACCAACAGAGCAAAACCTGTCTGACAGTCTGAGGAAGATAAGAGATCCAAGAACCTCTTCCCAATCCGAAAGAGATAAAAGAGTAACAAGAAGAAGATATATCTTTAGGTTTTCTTCTTCCAGCACGTAGAGTTAAAAATTTTCAATGAGCCAAATATAAAAAAGGAGATAAACATAACAAGTGTTCTAATTTCTTATCTAAAATTCCGATCTAAGATTCCAGAAGAATGCAATGAGACAGGCTGGTGAACGCCTGGATGATACCGGAAAATCCTTGAGCATCTCAAGTTTCTTGTCGTGGTCAATGGATTTAGAGGACTTAATAGTGGCCTGCTTTAAAGAACTTGCAATTCTTAAGATGAATGCTACTACTTCTTTATCTGTTTCTGTTCCTTCATAATATACCCATTCAAAGGTTTCAAGACTAGGTAATAGGTATTCAGGCACCAACCTCGTTTTATTCCAGCACGGGCGCGGCTCACCAGCCCGAATGTGATGGTTCTGTGAGACAAGTATAGCGCATCATATCAATCATATTGATATAGTACTCTTAAGAAATAACCTTATCAAACACAAGGAATGAATGAAGTGAAATATATGTATATACAATACCTCTTGAATTATGAGAGTTTTTAAATTTGGGGAGTCTCTGAGCACACGTATGAGTACATTCAACCATTCTGTCTGACATATGCATACAGTTAAATGTACAAGAGAGCAGAATATATTACCAACAGGATACGCATCCTGCATATACCGAGATGTAGTGTCAATAGTTTTGATCATAACAGAACATATCATTTAGTTCTTCCCAAAGAGAAAATGAACAATGCAGATGGCAGAAGGGTAGAAACAACAACGTGTAGTAAAGAACATATTACCTCTGAGGTTGGTAAGCAGAGAAAAAGACGCTTGACTGAAGTTAGAGAGCCCAAAAGCTCCGTAGTTTGGGGAGAATAAATGTCGACACTTGCGGTGGCAATTTTACACATATTATTCTCAACTATATGAATCCCATACGAATAATCAAGAATCTCCAAGCACTTCAAAGAAGGAGCATCTATCACAAACCCATGAGCTTTGTTTTTAACTATGTTCCTTCTTTTGTGCAAGACTAAACTCTTAAGAGAAGGTACTCTAACGGTGAAAATGGCAACACTGTCATCTGGACATTGCTCCACTACCAAGTCTTCAAGAACAGGACAACTTGATAAAAGCCTTTTGACAAATTCATCACCACCTTGGTATATCATGGATATAAGACTCAAGTTTTTGAGGGATGGGAAAGAAATTGGGGAAGAAACATCCATGAGGATCGCGTTACTTAGTTTCAAGGTCACAAACCTTGTACATCCCCCACTATACAAGCTACTAGGAAGTGTGACTGGAGTCTTACTACTAGAAGAAGTATCAATCTCGATAATCAGTTTACGCACGCAACATTTTTCTGAAGCTTGATGCAGAGTATCTCCACTACCACAGGTTTTACCAAGTTTAAATTGCAAAGTTTCTATAACCGGAGCCTTGTGCAGTGACAAAGACCTGTCTACAAAGGTCAAAAATTTTCCATGATCAATATCCTGATAGCTACCATCGTATACAAGCCTTGGAACCATCATCCAAAGAAATCGCCACCGTTTTGACAAAACCATTGTGGCCACAACATCTTTAGCATTAGGCAGTAAAGACAATATTCCCAAAAGAAGCTCATCATGCAACTGACTTATCCTGTCCATAATTAAGAGATTTTTGCATCCGGAGAAATCTAAAATCCTGAAAACATCAAAAAAGACGAACAAGGGATATGAGATTCTCAGGAATCAAACAAATAGTCATAAGCAAGGACGAGTAAAAGCAAAAACCTAGCGAGGTATATATAGAAAAAAAAAAAAAAAAATAAAAGATAAAACAAAATCCAAACTAACCGAGAACCTCTCCTTTAATTCATAAAATAATGATAAATAGAAATAGGGAGGTTTAGCTAAATAAGACATTTTTTTAGCTAGTATATTTTAATTACTATATTAACCCTAATAAAATATTAAATCCACTATCTAATACATAATCTTCATTTTTTTTTTTTTTTTCTAATACATAATCTTAACTAAATATGTGTTTTGTTGGTGAAGATGACTTGTATGTTGTATATATAATATAATTGTAAAACCATGGGATAACATATTAACATTACAGAACAGAGCATGAATAATTATTTTTCATATCAACAAGATCTTCAGAGTGTCAACTAGGGTAATTCGATATTTAATTTTCTAACGGCAACGCAACAAAACGTTACGGTTTCCTTTCTAATTTCGGAACCAAGATTACCCAATTAAACCGATGTTAAAAAAATGATTACCCACTTTTTAAACCGAACCAATATCAGACCAAAAGGAACTAAACCAACTCCTTCAACCAGAAGTGTATAAATCATCAACAAAGTGAGCAAACCCTGTTTGAGGAAGATAGATATCCAAAGAGGTCCAAGAACGTATTCCTAATCGAAAGAGATTAAAGAGACAAAAAGAAGATATATCGTTATGTTTTCTTCTTCCAGCACAAAGAGACACATAGGAAGAAGTTAAAACATTCAATGAGCTAAATCTATAAAACATTAACATAACAAGTTCTATTTTCTTATCTAAGATTTATTTTAAAGAATCCAGCAGAATGCAAGAAGACATGCTGGTGAACGCCTAGATGATACGGGAAAATCATTGAGCATCTCAAGTTTCTTGTCGTGGTCAATGGATTCAGAGCAGATAATAGTGGCTTGCTTTAAACAACTTGCAACTCTTAAGATGAATGCTACTACTTCTTTTTCTGTTTCTGTTCTTTCATATTTTTCCCATTCAAAGGTTTCAAGACTAGGTAACAGATATTCAGGCACCAAGCTCGTTTCATTCCAGCACGGGCGCGGCTCTTCATCCCGAAGGTAATGGTACTGAGATACAAGTATATCGCATCATATCAATCTTACTTGTAAAAATAACTTTATCAAAGACACTAACTGAAAAGTGAAATACCTGTACAATTTTGAGAGTTTTTAAATTAGGGGGATCTCTGAGCACACATATAAGGACGTTCAACCATTCTGTCTCACATGTGCATATAGTCAAATGTATAAGAGAGCGGAATATACTACCAACAGGATACGCATCCTGCATAATTTAGTTTTGATGACTGGAGTTTTATTTCTAGAACAAGTATTGATCTCAATAATCAGCTCGCGCACACAACCTTTATCTGCAGCTCTAATCCACATCCAGGGCCGGCGCAGAGGCCAAGCAACTGAAGCCAGCGATTGGGGCCTCAAAATTTTAGGGCCTTTTAAACTAAAAATTTGTTAAGTTTTGGATATGCTGCAAAAGTTATAAATTGATTTTGTAGGGCCTTTTAAAAAAAATGATATGGGTTTTTAAAGACAAACTAATTATCTTCAACACTAAATTTTTGATTTAGTAAAAAAAAACTCTAAAAATCCTACAAGTGATACCTCTTATGCGTGTATGTGAGTCAATATGCTTATTTTACAAGTGAAAAATCCTAGGTTTTGAAGTTAATTGTTAGTTTTGCTTTTGAATTTATTGTTTTTTCCTTCCAAATTTGTTTTAAAAAAGAAAGCTGCAAATTCGATAATGATTCGTTAATGGTTTTTGTAGTATATGAAAAAGGCATATTTTTTTAAGCTTTGCGTAGGGCACTCGCAGATGTCGGACCGGCACTGTCCACATCTGAAGATCTTTACTACCACAGATTTTACCAAGTTTGAAATTCAAAGTTTCTATAACTGGAGCCTCGTTCATAAACAAAGACCTGTCTACAAACCGCGAAAATCTTCTATACTCGATATTTTGGTAGTCATATAAGAGCTTTGGCACCATCATCCAAAGTTGCGAAAATTTCTCATAGCTATCTTCGTATACAAGCTTTGGTACAAACATCCAAAGAAACCGCCATCTCTTCGACAAAACCATTGTGGCCACAACATCTTTCGCATGCAGTGAAGACAATATTTTCAAGCGCAACAAATCGGGCAACTGACTTATCCTCTCCATATAATACAAACGAACAGTAGCTGTATCCAACGAGTTTCTTTGGTGATGTGGAAATCAAAACCTAAGAAGAAAAATTAGACAATCGAAATTAAGGAAAGTACCTAATGCAGAGAAAAAAATTAGACAATCGAAACTAAGGAAAGTACCTAATGCAGAGAAGGAAAAAAACTTTTTCCTTGGTTCTTCGAATACTCTGAAACCTCAATTATTGAGGTGAATACCTTAAGTAGGGTTTTTATACCAGTTACAAACTAAACTATAGACAATTTTATATAAGCCCTAAAAACCTTTTAGATACGGGCCTATGTAACAGGATAAACCGGTTAGCCTCTTGGTTTAATACTTAGATTTCTGGTTTAGTTGTCTGGTTCAATAATTTTATCTATCGCTACTATATGCAAGGCATTTAGCCGTTTTGAGAAAGCTAATCAATAAAACAAACAAAACTTCTCTTAATGTCTTTTCTCTGTATCAATGTATCATCGTCACCTTCACTTCCACCATTGAATCTTTGTTCCTCGGGTCATCCTTCTTCCTTTGTGGTCACCCCTAGACTCTGATTCACCCTTTCCTCGATTCCTCGGTGGGTTCTGGATCGGGATTTATCTCGTTTAAACTTTACTGTTTCAGCCTAGGCCCGGGACTTGATGAGGCTGCAATACATACTGTTTTTTAAGATACGCCGTTTATACAAATTCATTAATTTTACCGCATATAAAAAATTGATACAAGTCCAATAACTGACGGTAAAATTGTCTTCATGGTGTTCTCAAAATTGTTAGTGTGGAGTAGAATTCGTAAGAGATAAATTTGGTATGGTGTGATGGGTTGGTGCACGCGCCATGCCAAGGCTTTCTTTAGTACTGGATTATGGTAAAAGCACCTTTGAAACCAATTCACTAGAGAACATCACCGGAATATGGCATGTTTTACAATAGGATACCAGAGATCTATCAAAGGACTTTAAGGATTCAATTCTAACCTCGAGATTGCAACGAGGCGGCATATCTAATTCTCCATAACGTTTTAATTGATAAAGTACTGATGTTTTTAATATATACTAGAGAAGTTAAAGTGATGGGAAACTTTGCTACTAATACAGTAATACATAGAGTATATGCATGTTTATATATTTTTCTCCCATCAAAATAACTTTCATTAGATTTCATAAGAAGTTCAAATGTAATGGGCTAATGCATGGTCCTATAGACTGTAGTAGACTAGTATCCCATCAAATCATATATATGAAAGTTGGCCAACTGATCTCTCCATATGAGTGTCACATCATCATACAAGAAAATGACATGTGTCATTCTATATTATTTAAATTAAAAGATTAGTAAAATTTATTGAAGGAAAATCAAAACTCTTTTGTTATTTTAAATCTTTCACTAATATCTCTCTTAATTGATTTTTTTTTTTAAAAAAAATTATATTAATGTATCAAGCACTACTTTCATTCTACTCTTTTTATTTTATTAAATTTTTATATCAATGGTCACTACTTCGTGATGGCTAAAAAAATTACTTGTGTTGTACCTTTAGATGTTTGATACATAAATTCATATTAATTTAGTAATTTTATTTTGAATAATTTTTATTATTACGTTTTGTAAATATGACTTATCATATGACCTTCTCTCTTTTCATTTTTGTCTGTTATGATAAGTTAGTAACATTGACATACAAGTTTTTTCACTTAAGATTCATTTGAGACGTTAGACATACTAATAAATTTAAAACATGAGACTCTCTCTATGGCTATATGTAAGGAGAGAGGTCTAAAGTGTTGACTTAAATTACTAGCATATCATGATATGGTTAGCATACTAGATGACGGGAGAGTACATTGAACAAGTTTCAAACTACATAAGTAACATAACTACATACCATTGTATCAATTTATCATATACTTGTTGTTTTATGTATCCATGATAGTGAAAGATTAGGATCGTAGGTATATAAATAATCAGATTTATACATGAAAAATTAGAATTGATATTTCGAGTCAAAGATGAATCTAATCATACAAATTATAACTATATAAAACAGATCTGACTTTATTAAAATGAACATAAAAACAACAAAACCATAATCATATTTATTTCTGCAATTTTTTCAAAACAAAAACCCACGCGTATAAACGCGTAGCGTGGGTATTCATCTAGTACAAGATAAAACTACTCTCTTTTTTGTTTAAAATGTCATCATAATAAACTGTTTCAAATCTCATGAAAAAGTTAAATTTACATTGTAGTATAGAAAATTCTTCTTTAATTGTTTAAACGATGAAAAAGGAAACCCAAAGCAAAAACAAAAAGCTATAAGATTTTTTTCTATGAACATGTTTATTTCTCAGTCCAATTTAAGTTCACAAGAACTCGAGCCCATGAACATAGATGCCAAGTCTTCTCGGATGATATGATGATCACAAATCTCTCCTGAAAGCTTGAATTTGGGGGAGATAACCGACTTCTTTAAACAAGTACTATTCTTCAAGATATACACCGCAACATCTCTCTCTTTGAATGTTGCTTTATAGTTTCGCCACTCGAAAATTTCAAGATTTTCAGTCAAACATTGTGGAACATAACTTGGTTGCTGATTCCAAGAACTAGTGCAATACTTGCTAACGAAATCATGGTTCTGAGAAAAACAGGACATAAAACACGGTCAGTAATTAGATCATCAAACCGAAAGGAAAACAAGTAAAAAAATTACAGATCAAGTGATGAGCCAGGAACTGTAAAATTAATTACCTTATCATTAAGCTTGAGCACTCGAAGTTTTGGAGAATCTCGAAGCAATTTCGCGAGTAGATATAACCACTTTGAATCATCACATGTACATAGTTCCAAATGAACAAGCTGAGAGAAGATAATACCCTCAGGATACTGAGCCTGCACATGACACACAAGCTTTTCTAAGCACATGAGAAAAACAATTAAACACAATTATAGGGTTTAAGTTACTAGGCATACCTC